TTATAAGTTGTGCACTTCCTAACACTCAACCCCTGTGCTGCCTATAAAACGCTTTTGTTGAGAGTTGTCACCGACCATGTCATTTGAGAAAATATTTTTTTCAATGGGCAATTTCAAGAAACACACCAATGTCCTTTCTTACAGTTACGATTCAATTAAAATATTTATACGTTGGATTTCCCAGTCGTGTGGTTAATCACACGTTTGTACGTTGGGTACGACATGCACATTGTTCATTCACAACTATGATACATTACCGGCTTTTTGATTTTCACAAACTTCTGAATGAAAAACACTCAGCCAGTAAACATTTTAGATAAAGGTTTTTTTCTTTAAATCACAGATTGTTCAGTAGCAACAGTGCTAATACATATAAAGCCTGTGTGCAGTTCCTGATATTTAATCTTAACCAGCAATTCGCATTTAAATAACACTTTTGTGAAAATCGAACTAATGTGACAGAATGAAGCAGTCGATACAAATGGAACAATGATTTATTCTTGAATTATTTTCCAATTGTATTTAAATGGTGCCATCTGTGTGATGTAATTTTAACACCTTTTCATATGGAAGCAATGCATCACCACGCATTAGAAAACAGCCCCTGAAAGGCGATATAACAGTATTATTTACGAGGTCCTTTGAGTGCCGCTTATCCGCTCAGCCAGTGTTGTTGTACCGTCTCACATGCTCTCTGCAGGTTATTTTATCACAGAGCAAGAGCCAAAAATTATTTCACACTCAAGAGTATGGCAAAAAATTAGGCAACACCCAACTGCACGTGGACATAGTTGCCTCGGTTTTCCATTAAATTCCATTCGCTCCCCACCCACGCCTTAGCAGCGGGACCATGATCATACAAAGCGGCTCGCGATGGCCAGCACCTTGGAATACTGCCTCTCGCTGCTTCGCAGCGACGTTGGGATGGGCACGCGAATGCGCGTGCCCGTGGGCGAGCCATTGTCCTCCAGCAGCACCACGTTGTTGGAGTCGAAGCGAGGATTCATCACCCCCGAGCTCATCTTGTGGCCCACGATGAGGGCCTTCTTCTTTTCACCCCTGTGGCAGTAGCAGAGATCGCAAACCATCACGAGGGCAGCACACGCTCGCTACTGTGAGCCATCTAACGATTCATCCCTCACCGCCTCCTTATGATCCATAAATTGTCGTAATTCCAGGCAACAATTTGATTTTAGAATCGAGTTTTTTTTCCATCTTTGCTGCAGTCTCCACCTGGATACAGATGGGTCGCATGGTGAGAAGACACATACCTCTTATGCTGGGTAATGGTGAACCCCTGAATCACTTCGTCACCACTGCTAGCAGAAGGTCCTCCACTAGAAGGAGCTCGAGAGCCCTTCCAGAGAGTATTTGACCTACTCTCTCCCACACTAGCCAGACATCTTGAAATATGTAGGAGTCCCCAGCCTTAAATCTACCACACGCACGAGACCCGCCGACAGGATGTTCCCCTGAGCTCACCTGATGGCGAGGAGGACCATGTCTCCAACCTTGCCCACACTGTTCTTGGTGTAGACGTGGATGACACGTGGCGGGCGGTGGTAGGGCTTGGTGGCCATGGGGCTATTGTCTACGACGCGCACACGAGTCATCTTCTGGATGGCTGCGCTTGCGGGCGACATACTGTGGAGACAGAGTTTCACGCTTGTATCATCTCACATGCAGCTGTCGGATGGTGCCGTGGACAAAGCTGTGATTAGAGCGTGTATCTCACGAGTGGAAAGCTGCGAGTTGAAAGCTTGGTTGGAAGTTGACAATATTTTATTACCGGACAAAACATCTGTGAAATTACAAATAAGACAATGAAAGTTGTAAATAGGCATTATGCCTTTACACGACTTTTTAGCTAAATCGATTTCTGGAGTACTTTACAGCATGGTGATAGAGTGTCATTATTTTCTTCATGGAATGTTTAGTGGAACATAGAACCCTCTGCATTTTCAATATTGTAAGTCGCAACAATTAGACGGCTTGTGATGAGCCTACGTTGAATGAACTGCAGTTTAAGTCATCTTTATTGACACCAGCACGGCAAAGCACAAAACAATAGAAAGTTAGAAATCGAATTATAAACTGATATCTCGATGATGAAAAATGAACCTTATGGCGGGACCCCGGGGTCCCGAAATAAACGGAAGTCAAAATCGTAATTAATTCATTTATTTGTGGCGACTCCGTCGCACCGCGCACATCAACACTGTGACCCACCTGGCGTGGATCATTCTGTCATGTCGTCCAAGCGCAGCGAGGACGAATGCGCAGAAGAAACAAAACTTTGAAACTTTGATTAGCGCATCGTGTAGAGCTCGTCGAGAGGGATAGATTGCCGTATCGTTCGCCTTCAACATACATAAAATGACGTCGCAACGCAGTTTATGCGAGAGCCGGGGGCTTATGGGACCCTGGGGTCCCTCCATAAGGTTCATATCCTTAGCTCTTTCGGTAAAGTCAGGTTGAAGGGAAACAATAAAATAATAAAATATATATAAAACAATCAAAATTCTCACGACGTTTCGACCATAACACAAACGGTCGTCATCAGGTGTGTCGGTACGCATTAATTTATTTATTTTTAAACGGTGTTTTTATTTATTTATAAAAACGTCAGCGCCACGCGCAGCGATTTGGCAGTTTATTTAGAAGGCCTAGTCCATCTATGTTCTGAAGAGGGTGGAGACGAAAAATTAATGTATGCTGTCTGAAAGCCACTGTAAGCGTGAACAATCAATTAAGACCTGAAATGGTTTATCAAATCTTTCCAATGATTGCTAAGCCAGAATTCATCTTCTCGGTTGAAATTGTCCCTGTGCTTGTATATGTGGATAGCCTCATGAACGAATCTCTCATGGTAGCCAGATGGCTATTGTTTTATATATATTTTATTATCTTATTGTTTCCCTTCAACGTGACTTTACCGAAAGAGCTAAGAATATGAATTACTGCAGTCACGAAAGCTTTAAATCAAAAGGTTCATATCGTGAATATGAGCCAATGTCTGTGTGACGTCACTCCACATCGAACAGCCCCCCACATTAATAATCATGAAGAGGTGACGTCTTCCAAATGAACACCCCCTCTCATAAAAAATTAATTAGCAGGTGACGTCATTGGACATGGGGGGGGGGGCGAGGTGCCTCCTCCCCCCCCCCCCTCGGCGTCAACTCACAACCCTCACTACAAAGGCAGAACCCTCACGTCACGTCATCTCCGACAACGCTGTTGAGACATCGAAGTAAAAAGGACGTCATGATGAACAAGGGATTATAACCTTTCAAGGAAATAAGTCTGTGTCACTGCGCCCTTACAAATTGCACGCGAATTGATGCAATGAATATCACGTCGCGGTCTGCTTTTCTCTTGCAAGTTTCAGATTTACTGAAATGCACCCGTCCTTGTAGTGAATACTGATCTTGAATCACGGAAACCCTCGTATGCAGAGCAGTGCTCTACTGACCTGAACCGCCTGCAGAAGACATCGCCTAGAGAGGATAGTGGTGCAATAAGAGTCCGGGGGGTCCCTGCACCCACCACACACGCACATTTGTTAACACAAACTCATTAAGGGAGCACGCCCAAGAGGACGGAGTGACGAGTTCAGCGCGAGTGCAGCGGGTACATGGATTGTTGCATCGCAGGACTGTGACAAAAGGCTTTATGGTGGCGAGATGTTAACTACCTCACCTAGTATACAGAAAGACGTGGGTTCTATCCCGAAACTGACTCCTGTATTTCTTAGAGTTTGCGTGTCTCTCTCCCCGTGGTCGCGTGGATTTTTCTCCAGGTCCTCCGGTTTTTCCCTCCATATTTAGAAACATCCATTTAGAGTATTTGGCTGCCATAAATGTCCACGTGATAAGCCACTTCGTTGAGCTATCATTTGTGGCCAGGTTGCTTCTGAAAGAGCTTTATAGCTCACTCGGCCTTACCTGGTAAAATAAAAAAAAAACAGTTTGATAGCGAAATACAGGAATGGATATACAAATACTGATGTATAACTGAATATTATGAATTTGGGATTTCACGCTACCACATTAGTGGTGCACGATTGTGGATTATGTCAAATGTGTTTTTAAAGCGCACTTTACAATAGACTAATCACCCATCATATGCACAAACTACTCGTGTTATGCCTTACGTTTTATCAATCGTAATTTTTTTTATTTTGCCTTGGCAGAATTAAACGCTAAGATTTAGCTACTGTATTAAAGAGTATCAAGATATGATAGAACATTTCAGTTTGTCATAACTTGTGATTATAAACCAGAACCTAATTTCAGCCAGGGTCTGCCCAGGTCGGCGAACCGGACATTTGCGCACTCGGCACACCACATCCAGGATATCCCTCGCTGTAGCTGTAACGACTCGTTACATGGCTACACCCTTCGAATCGCGACACAGTGAGCAACTAAGCCTCAATTAACTCTGCACTTACTGCGCTATTAACGTCACATTTAATTCGGGTTTCCATGGCAACCCGCGTGTCCTTGACAAGAGGCCTGGGGCTGAAGTAGAAGCCTGTGTCACTCGCGCACTCTTAACCTCTGTAACCCGGAGCTCACTATAACACGCTCAAAACCGGACAATGCTCACTCGCTGAACTAAATACGCCACACTTCGTCGTAAGCCCTGTAACTGTTAATTATTTGTAGCTTAATGGGGCAATTGGCGTGCAAAGAACCGGTCACTTACACATGGCTCGCCTAGGCCGCACGCATTCGCACGCCTTTGCAATTTGCAGCGCGATTAAGTCGCAGAACCGCCGCGCGATTGGTTGGAGACGGTCAGCGTCACGTGGTGAGCGCACCGACCAATCAGCGTTCAGCGTTTCGCGCTTATCTGTACTACGCTTTGCAGAGACGGTGGGGGTGGCGAAGAGATCCCCGACACTCGAGGGCGATGATGTAATGGACAATCGCCCTTAGATTTCGTACAACTGATTGGAGCCCCCGATTCGCAGTTTGGGAGCGATCCGATTGGACGATCGCGCGCCTAGGTGCTTATCGGATGTGGGATATGTAGTGCCCTCTCACACCCATTCAGTGTATGGCAGACGTGAGCGTGACATTCATGGCATTACGGGTGAGTCTTCTACCCCACCGTTATTCGTTATTTATGGCTTATTATTTCGTGGGTATTGATGACAAAATGTCAAGCGGATGTTATGGAAAATGTCCGGTCATTTTTTGTGTGATATAAAAAAGAGAATAATTTAAACGTGGCCTGCCCTGAAGCCCAATGTTGATTATTTGAAATGGCGTGGTAGATTTCCATTATCCAGCACTGTACGCATTGGGTGTCCCAGTTTGTGTCTTTTTAGATCAGTTTATGGTTTAACGTTTCATGACGTGATTAAAATAATACGAATCTCTGAGTTGTTTGCCTCAATTAAGGTGCCGTGTGCGTGTGTTTGAGTGGGAGGTTTTTGATTCGCAGATATTTTAGTACAGTTGTAAAAAATGTTTTAAGGCTTAACCGTTAATCGCATGGAACATAACGGTAAAAAAAACGGTTTCTGGTTTTGTGCACGTAAAAAAAATATTAAATGAAACGTTTCACGATTGTAGATCTTTCGCTAAGAAACGGCAGGAGCGACCACGTTGCTGTAATTAATGTGTTAGCACCCTGGACTTGCAATGCAGAGGTCGCCGCTTCGATTCCATCTCCCGGCACGGGAGCTCCCTCATTCTCCCACTGCCTCTGTCCGCCCTGCAGCACGAATGGGTTCGCCGTAGTCAGCGGTTGTGTGGTGGGGCAAAGTGTGGGTATGCACACCGCTTTCAACACATCAGAGCCCCCTCTAGTGGAGGCCCTTTCTCCAACAGTGGCGTGAGCAGGCAAGCAATTGCTCTTGAACTGAATAACTTGGGCAAATCTAGCATGCGGTGACTCAGGCCACCCTGACATTTGTACGTCCGTGCGTCCTAATGGGAACGCTTAACGAGTTCTGCCTTTTAGCATCTGCAATCGAATCCGAAAATGACTACTCGATATTCTCATGTGTCGTTTATAACCCAAATATTTAGCAATTGCCTTTGCTTTTGTATCCCTTGTGCCATTAACAATGGCAGTGCATCAATTTAATTTGCGAAATTACACGGTATTATTTTAAATATATGTAGAAACATAATAATTAATCACTATGTAACACAATTTTTGTTCCTGGGTAGTAAGTGTTATTTCGTAATTGCTTATGCCTAAAAAGTGTAGAAAATTATTCCTCACAAACTTTGCTTTTGTGACCAGGACAGTGATATTTTGAAATTAACGTATTTTCAATGAGAAAACTGGCGATTTTTTTTCTTTTCGTTCACAAAGTCAGAGAAAAACATATGAATCAAATTTAACATGTATTTATACTAAAGTAATACAAAAATCACTCCAAAAGATTTAGAAGTGAGTAGTTTTTCGACATTTACGATTATACTGTAAATCACTTTCACGAATCAGCCCCCAAATGTAGTCTCCCATCATGTTCTCGTTATACTGTTCTTGGTAGTGGCGTGCCTTGCTTATCCGAGTACGCTCCCATGTTCTCCTTGAATTTATCAAGATGAGCATCAAGGATAAGGACTTTGAGGGACATCGTACAGCACCTTGTGCCGTAGTTCTTCACCAGAGTCTCAACCAGCTCCACATAGTTTTCGACCTTGTAATTGCCCAGGAAGCTACGAACCACTGCGACAAAGCTGTTGCAAGTCGCTTTCTCCTTACTAGTGAGCTTCTTGGGGAATTCATTGCACTCCAGGATCTTCTTTATCTGTGATCCGACGAAGATACCGGCTTTGACCTATGCCTCAGACAGCTTAGTGAAGAAGTCTTGAACGTACTTGAAGGCTGCCGACTTCTTATCTACAGCTCTGACAAATTGTTTCATAAGGCCGAATTTGATGTGCAGTGGTGGCATCTTGATCCCTGACAGGCATGCCGAGATATGCCTTGTAGGTTTCACACATCTTAGCAGATGCTCCCACAGAGTACTTTTTCGCTCTTGTCTTGATAAATTTGCGGCAGACATAGCAAAATGCATTTGCCGGATGCTTACAGCCTCTTGATGGCATCTCATAAAAATGCAGATATGTATCCACTTAGGCAGCTGGAACTAAACTGGACTGATGGGCTTAAGGCTCCTATATTTATATTACTATTTATATTACTGGAAAGTTCTAGAATGTTTTAGTAGTTACTCCAAGTTTACTCAGCACTGAATCTATCTGGAATGTTCTGGAAAATAGGAAAATTTCAAAATATCATTGTCCTGGTCACAAAAGCAAAGTCTGTGGGGAATAATAGCCGTTTTCTGTACTTTTGAGTTATAAGCAATTAGGAAATAACACTTACTACCCAGGAACAAAAAATTATTTTGTTACATAGTGTTATCCCACAGATCAGATCCACGGCACGAGACTATATAATCACGCCACCCAGTGTCAAAGAAATATATTTCTCAAGTAAAACATAGAGTGCAGTGTTATTTATAGTTGAATATTTTTGTCATGAAATAAATAAGTAATTGTGATTTCCTGGTCAAATGAACATTGAGGTGGTGTTCATGTTGTGTTTACAGCCCTGAACCAGTGGTGGAAATTCCTTTTTCCCATGACAGGGGCAATTCTATCCTTAGGACAACCTCAGTTGACTTCCCCACAAAGCGGTATGGATTTGATTGACCCCCGGGGGGATGATGGGTTGAGTCAACCCCCTCGCAATATTTTAACCGGAACCTTCCGATTGTGAGCCATACAATATACTGCTAAGATACCTCATTTCGCCAAATGCTCGTTTGTATTTAATTTCTTATGTATTTACCATTTCTTTGGTGAAAAGTATGGAACGCATTAAACAAGCTGTCATTAAGCAATGACAGATGATATCAACGGTGAAATTATATTGCCATCCATATTCCTTACATTTTAACACAGCATTTCGCGGCCAATATTATCCATAATAACGTTTTTTTGGGTTAGATCACGTAAATATGAATGTGTTGTTTAACCCGTCACCAAAGCATGCTTTTTCGTCACTAGTACAGCACACTCCAACACACCGGTGTACTGTACTAGTAACGAATTGGCACGTTTTGTTTAGGTGACAAACCTTACTAGTTGGCAATGTCGGGTGGTGGCGGGTTTAACGACACGTTTATATTTGCGCGATCTAACCCAAAAAAAACCTCTTATGGATTCCTTACATTGTACTGGGTATGCCACGTGTTTCATCACTTTGTGGTTTAAATATTTCGTGAAAGATTTGGCCAATAAAGGTTAAATTATTCAGCAGGTTTGGACAGAAGGATTTGGCGTGCGCTTGCTTGCTTGCTTTTTAATGAGCTTAAAATGCATTGGCGAAAAAAACACACAAATGGGCATTTTTGCTGTTTGTACTGTACAGTATGTCATTTTCTTTGCATATTAACAGATAGCAGGTGCAATGTATGCCCATGTGTTACACGAAGCTATGCCACATATGCTGTGTTCGTTCTCATGATAGTAGCTCTTCATACATAACATAATAATGACCACATCACTTCGATTCACTGACTGCCACTGGCTACCTATCCAATTGCACATCCTCTGCTCTTCCAGTTGTGATTGTCTCTCCATCGTTGGTCTTTTTAAGGCATTCTAACTTCACCGTTCTCTCCTGTTGTCGGGCACATATCAGCTTTTTCACTTTTCAATCCTTCTGATTCTCCATATTTCCACAACATGTATTTCCAAACTCAATTACAGCATTTTCAGATTTTTGTTTCATTTAGATGCTTTGTAAATAGTTTTTTTTTATTTTGCAACCAGTTAATTGGGGCATGTTTGACGAAATCATTACCGATTGAATGTGCAATGAGATGAACACGGAACTGTTGTATGGATTTCTCAGGTCAAGAAGTTATTATGTGACACGCAAAATAATCACTTAGTACATTTTGTATTCGTGCCATTGTTATAGCGCCAGACTATCACAGAGGTTCAGTGTTCACAGACGGATGTAGGTTGATCTGTACGTGATGTTTGTGTGTCTTGGGGTTGCTCTGTGCTCTGTACAGTGTCTTTATTTTATTTTAGATGCAATACACATTCCAATTGTATTTATGTACAGTGAGGGAAAAAAGTATTTGGTCCCCTGCTGATTTTGTACGTTTGCCCACTGACAAAGAAATGATCAGTCGATAATTTTAATGGTAGGTTTATTTGAACAGTGAGAGACAGAATAACAACAACAAAATCCAGAAAAACGCATGTCAAAAATGTTATAAATTGATTTGCATTTTAATGAGGGAAATAAGTATTTGACCCCCTCTCAATCAGAAAGATTTCTGGCTCCCAGGTATCTTTTATACAGGTAACGAGCTGAGATTAGGAGCACACTCTTAAGGGGAGTGCTCCTAATCTCAGCTTGTTACCTGTATAAAAGACACCTGTCCACAGAAGCAATCAATCAGATTCCAAACTCTCCACCATGGCCAAGACCAAAGAGCTCTCCAAGGATGTCAAGGACAAGATTGTAGACCTACACAAGGCTGGAATGGGCTACAAGACCATTGCCAAGCAGCTTGGTGAGAAGGTGACAACAGTTGGTGCGATTATTCGCAAATGGAAGAAACACAAAATAACTGTCAATCTCCCTTGGCGTGGGCCTCCATGCAAGATCTCACCTTGTGGAGTTGCAATGATCATGAGAACGGTGAGGAATCAGCCCAGAACTACACGGGAGGATCTTGTCAATGATCTCAAGGCAGCTGGGACCATAGTCACCAAGAAAACAATTGGTAACACACTACGTTGTGAAGGACTGAAATCCTGCAGCGCCCGCAAGGTCCCCCTGCTCAAGAAAGCACATATACATGCCCGTCTGAAATTTGCCAATGAACATCTGATTGATTCAGAGGACGACTGGGTGAAAGTGTTGTGGTCAGATGAGACCAAAATGGAGCTCTTTGGCATCATCTCAACTCGCCGTGTTTGGAGGAGGAGGAATGCTGCCTATGACCCCAAGAACACCATCCCCACCGTAATATATGGAGGTGGAAACATTATGCTTTGGGGGTGTTTTTCTGCTAAGGGGACAGGACAACTTCACCGCATCAAAGGGACGATGGACGGGACCATGTACCGTCAAATCTTGGGTGAGAACCTCCTTCCCTCAGCCAGGGCATTGAAAATGGGGTATTCCAGCATGACAAGGATCCAAAACACACGGCGAAGGCAACAAAGGAGTGGCTCAAGAAGAAGCACATTAAGGTCCTGGAGTGGCCTAGCCAGTCTTCAGACCTTAATCCCATAGCAAATCTGTGGAGGGAGCTGAAGGTTCGAGTTGCCAAACGTCAGCCTCGAAACCTTAATGACTTGGAGAAGATCTGCAAAGAGGAGTGGGACAAAATCCCTCCAGAGATGAGACCAAATAGAGTAGCAGGGTGACCGGGAGCAGGTGGAGGGCTTCACGTGAATATTCAACACACCGGTGGGCTAAAGTAGTGAACTATTTGTTTTTTGTCAACGTGACACATTTTTTACTGGTTGGCCGTGTCGGGTGGTGGAGGGTTGCGACACATTTTTAAATAACGCGATCTGACCCAAAAACCTTTATTATGAAAAATACATTTTGTTAATATTTATTTTATTTGTTAATCCGGGAAAGCTACAGTGACTCTCAAGAACGAATTGAGTTGATTCTAAAACTTTTGCTACAGATGGATGGATGTACGGTATTGACCACTGACTGGAATTTAACTCACAACCTTTCGATTGTGGGTCAGACACTGCCACAGCAACAGCTGGCCATGCTGTCACTGCACAGAGATAACGGGATCAAACTGATCGCTGGAATGTTTCTGCAGGTTAAAGCTTGGCAGAAGAACCCTGATAACGTCAATAGGCATTGCTGCGCCTCTGTTATATAACACCGGCCAAATGGCAGTAATTGAGATCACGTTACACAATTCACCGTGTGGTATTCAGGTCTGCTATTAATAGTTAATCCTACACAATTCCCCTTACGTGTGGCACCAATTAACGGTATTGCTTGTTAATTCCCATCTGGTGTGGCTTAATTGGTGCCTGCATTTGTTGCTGTAAGTTTAATGCTGGCGAAGGGAATGTTGGCTATCTATTTACACATTTTGCTTCTGAGTATGCTCCTGCGTTAGTTCTGTGAGCGCCCATTTGGAGCCTGTGTCTTGGCATTCATCTGCTAAGAGTGTTCTGTGGGAAGGTCACTGCTCATGCTATCATGTAGGCACGTAACGTTGCATCGATCAGTCAGTCGATTAAAAGCGGCTCTTATCCTATCGATGCATGCATTGAATCATGCACACGAGGATCCCTCATTTAAATATTTGCAAATTACACACTTAGCACTACTGCATAAATTTTCATATTTGCACTGTGTAATTATCCGATGTGTTTTCGAGTTGTACCATGTGCAAGAGCGAAACCTCACGAGGAACCTTGTCAGATGATATTTTTGCATCTTGCAGATACTGCCTCATAGGCATTAAAACGTCTAATAAAAACACTGTACATGCAAGACCTGGATATAAAATAGGGCACGGCATTCGCACAGGCAGCTTCACAATGCGTTAGCACTTGCTAATGGAAGCAATGGGATTTAGTGGTGGTGGCAGGGTCGGTGATTGGTAAATGGAGGAGCTGTTGTCCATTTTAATAATTTATCAGCTCATGATAATGGCAGCATAGCTGACATCTTTACGTTTGCTTTTGATGTAGGCTCTAATATGTTCAATGCAGTTAAACACAGAGCATCTGTTTCCCCAAAGGGAGGCTCTTCAGTTCAGTTACCCGATCCCGTATTGAAGGCACGGTTCAAAAACAAGACATTTAGTAATCAGGGACAATTCTTCACATTTAGAAACACGCGTTTTGAGTATTTGGCTGCTATACATGTCCACATGATACACCACTTCGTTGAGCTATCATTTGTGGCCAAGCGCTACGTACGTAGCTCAGTGGGCCTTACCTGGTAAAATATGTAATCGTTTAATAGTTAATTTGACCATGACATTGGTCAATCATTGATCAAATATTATCTTATTATAAACCAGAAGAGACACATTTACTAGACTTCAATTTTTTTGTTTAAATAAGTATTTATTCAAATACTTGTTTTGGAAAAGTAATCAGATGTAACTGTATGCAAAAGTAATTTTGTAAATCCACTGGTGGATAAGGACGTTATTTGACAGCACATTAAAACTAAACTATATTTTTTATTTTACCAAGTAAGGCCCACTGACCTATATTTCTCCTTTTCTATCTCCCCCTGTCCCCTCTTCCCCCTCTCTCCTCTTCTCCTACCCCCACTGTCTCTCACCCCCCCCCCATCTCTCTCCCTGTTTCCCTCTCTCACCTCTCGCCCTGCTGATTCCCACCTCTCCCTTTCCAGTCTCAATCTCTCTTGCCTCTCCCGAATCCTCCCTCCCAGTGCCTGTCGATTCCTCTCACTCTCCTCTTTACGTTTAGCTCTCTTCTCTCTTTCCTCTCTGCTTGACGCCCCTTCGCCCCCCCTCCCTCCTCTCCGTCTCTTCCTCCCTCTATCTCTCTTCTCTTTCCTCACCTCCCACATCTATCTCCCATCTTCATCTCCCTCACCTCCCTCCTCTACCTCTATCGCATTGGCGTGGGATGCACGGCCGGGGTGGAGGGGAGTGGGGGGAGCGCGACGCACGAACCAGGCTCAACGCTGTGGGATGCAGGTGACGTCATGGCGCACTTTGGCCGTGCCAGCCAGGCAGACAGGAATCCAGGCAGGAATCCAGGCAGGAAACTGATTACAAAGCGTCCTTCTTGGATATTGGGAAGTTACTCTATTAACACAAATACAAATATGCCAGGTTTATTTATTCTTATGAATCGATTTACCTATTTGTGGAAATAGTGTGTATTGTGTCCAAATGAGAGATGTCATATATAAGTTGTAATTTGGGCAATGGAATAAGTGGACAAAACGTCTGTCTCGTCATGTTTAGTGATGCCTGCAGGCATCTCATCTGATGCCCACAATACCAGCAGGTGTTATACATCGATAATTTTGATTCCGTATGAGCTATTAATATAACGTTTAATAACTGAGGAAAGTCACAGTCCCTTTTCGAGCATGTGATGATACTTATATTCTGTTTAACATTCAGAGCCAGTGGTGGAATTTAAATTTTCCTCAGATGGGCATGAATATTTATAGGCTGCCCTCTGCTAACTTCCCATGAAGTGGTACTCATTAACTGGGGAGATGGAGGGCTGAGTCAGCCCCTGACTGGGATTGGAACTGAGAACCTTGCAACCGTGAATGATGTGCTCTATCCACTGCACCACTGCTTCCCCCAATATCGAAGTACTGCAACAGCATACAAATACCCACCAATACACGCCAATATCAATACCCACCAATTCACGCCAATACCACAAACACCAATATACACCAATACACACCAATACCAATACACACCAACACCACTACACACCAATACCAATACACACCAATACCACTACACACCAACATCACTCCACACAAATACCACTACACACCAACACCAATACACACCAATACCACTACACACCAACACCAGTCCACACCAACACCACTCCACACCAACACCAATACACACCAACACCACTACACACCAATACCACTACACACCAATACACGCCAATACCACTACACACCAATACACACCAATACCACTCCACACCAACACCACTACACACCAATATCACTACGCACCAATACCACTACACACCAATACCACTACACACCAACACCACTCCACACCAATACACACCAACACCACTACACACCAATACCACTGCACACCAATACACGCCAATACCACTACACACCAATACACACCAATACCACTCCACACCAATACCACTACACACCAACACCACTACACACCAATACCACTACACACCAATACCACTACACACCAATACCACTACACACCAATACACACCAATACACACCAACACCAATACACACCAACACCACTCCACACCAACACCACTACACACCAATACCACTACACACCAATACCACTACACACCAATACCACTACACACCAATACACGCCAATACCACTACACACCAACACCAATACACACCAATACACACCAATATCAATACACACCAATATCTATGCACACCAAAACCAATACACTCCAATACCAATACACTCCAATACATATAATATCAATTTGCAGTCTTTAATTGGGTGGTAGGCGATCTCTAATCGGGTGGTAGGCACGTAATGCTTCACTCCCATAGCAATTTTATGAATTGTCTCGATTCAGGCTAACGATTTGATTCAATAATTGATTATTATTAATTATCTCATATTTACTATCTCTTCTGTATTGTGTCCCATGTTGTTACTAGTTTGTACAAGGTGTGTTTTGCTGCATTAACCCAAGGGTAACATTATGACATGGTTTGCAAATGTTATCTATGAATCATGCGAATGAGTCGGTACACGCATCGTTAGCATGACTATCGATTGGATTCTGAAATCATGCTTCCTTACATGCTGGTGGGTGGCGCTGTGGCAGAGCAGAGTCTGTTAACATTTGTGTAGAGCAATGTGTTGGCGATATGTGTGCGGACACATGGGCACTGAATAACAGACCCTCGACGAGTTAGGAGCAACTAATAATCAAACCAACATGCTGGTGAAAATATTACAGGGATTATTTTTCAAGCAACGGTGAATCCACAACCGAGATAATTCACCCACGGGTAATCAACAGGTAACTGTACTTACACGCAAACTCTCCTTGTCGTGCAGGCATAATTTCAGGGTCAGGGGTGAGTGAAGACTCCCCCCCCTAAGGCTCGCTTGTGGCGGGGCCTCTAGAGTGGTAGCAGCAGCAGCGACGGCGGCAGCGGCAACAGCGTCCCAGAGCACGATGGGGAGTTTCCCAGGCACCATCGCTACGACCGAGCCCACCGTGCCATCACCCGTGGACACGCACACGTGCTACGGGGCACGTCCCCACAGCTCGGTGCTGCAGGGCAGCCCCATGGGGGGCATCCCCACCGTCTTCTTAGCCAACCTGGTCGTCGCTGTGGTGAGTCGATACGAGCTGCAGGCAGTCTTCTTCTTCGTACGGCTGATGTTCGTGGAAGGTAACGGCCGTGTGATTTTACGTTGAGGTGGTTTAGCCAGATGATTGCGTCAGGAGTAGCGGAGTGGTGTATCGCCGTGATGATGCCTAATTTGTATTTTTGAATCGGGCATTGAGTTATTACATGAGGTGCAGTGCAAAATACTGTTTAAGTGGTTCAGGGAATTCATGACTGCTGTTTCGGAGCACTCAGCCACTGTGACCGAGACACTGTTGTAAATCCCGGTTTCTGCCAGCCAAGCGTGTAACATTGCTCTATTCTGTACCGTCGCTGTATTCAAGCATCTGCCGGACAGCCCCACACGTGTCTACAAGAAAAGGGCTCTGATTTCTAGTCTCACCTTTTCAGCGAGATCGATTTCAAAATATATATTCTGCTACTTCTACCACGTGTAGATGAATGGCTGCCTTGTCCCTGCGTGCCCCCTCCACAGATCCTTGTGCTGGTGTTCTCCTACCTACGCAAGGCAGCTTGGAACTACGGGCGGCTTGCGCTGGTGTCGGAGAGAGATAGGTGCCCCCTTTGAACACACGCACACACAGTTGGATAAATAAAGTTTTACATGATTGTTCGGTATATATTTTTGTTATCGTATAAGTTATCCAGGTCTTAGAGTCGCTTCCGAGTGAGAGTTTCCAGAAAAATATTGCGAGGAAAAAATGAAGTCGGCGTTTGTTATCAAAATCTTAATTGCTAAGTGTTTATATAAATGTAGAAATAAACGTTCCCATTTCCTGCAGCATTGCAGGCTGTAACGTTTTCGGTGATGTATTTCTGCTCGACCCGATATCTGACAAGTTCAAACCCAAGTAATGCGGCTCACGGTATTAGTGAGCATCGGCTAAATCCAGCACAGCACACAAGCGAGCAATGAGGCCAGCTTCACACCTGGCCACGTTTAATATCCTCTTTGCTGATGTTACTATCGGGTACTCGGTTAATTCTGAATTGTCCTCGGTGAGGCCCAAGACAGACCAATATTATTCAGTCCCAAGATTTGTTGATACGCGAGTGTAATTGTTATGCAGTGCCCTACCTGCTGCAGCACCGCGCCCCACACACGTACACCCACGCGTGCAAATCGCTTCTCGCCCTGGTGTCTCAATGACCAACGCCGCTGAGGCGCATCTCCCGTGTCTCCCCGTGCAGCCTGGCGTCCCTCTTCTACAGCGAGACAGACCGAGAGGGCTCCATGTCAGAGGCCAGCTTTTATGAAGAGGAGGGCCACTACAAGGTGCCTTTTTCTTCGCTGCATCGACCCTTGGATCACAACAACTTAGAGCAAATGATAGCACTCCACTTTCATTGAGGGGACTGTGCAGGACAGCCTCAAAAGACTGGGATTCACAACAACACAAACTGGATGGAGTTAAACCACAAAAGAGTTGATCTGTGAGGCTGATGATTGAGCAGTGGTAGAGGGAGATCGCACCGTACATAGCCAATCCTGCTAATTGGAGGTGCAGGGAAGGACAACAAACTAAGCACAAATTTAAACACAAGTCTTGTTGTTGTGATGTTACTCAAGTGCCATAGTGACATGTCCTTGGCTCTAACTTGTTTCTGTTACAACGCTTCAAACTTGATCAGTCTAGGTTCATATCTACAAGATTTGCTCATGGGGATGCTGTGCTTTAGTGCACCAGCAGCATCCACTACCAGCACTACCACCACCAGCATCAGCACCACCACCAGAGCTACCACAAACACCACCACCAGCAACACAATCAGCACCACCATTATTACCACCACCAAGGTCACCACCATTACCAGCACCGCCACCACCACCAGAGCTACCACCAGCACCACCACCACCACCAGCAGCACTGCCGCCACGTGCCTCACCATCACACACAATATCACTCCACCTCGAGTCACTTGTTTATCTAACGTGTGTGTGCCTGCGTCTCAACTACAGGGAATTTTCTCTTGGATAAGAGGCAGCTTCAGGGTCAGGTGAGAGATGCAGACTTGACACGGAGAGACTGACATTGACACACGTGTCTATTTGTACTTTATTAGTGTATTACATAATATTGCCGATGTGTATACATATGTCTATAAATTATATAAATGATAAGCATTGCCGTCCTTTTACTAACTTATAATCCATTTGTAATTGGTTGAGCATTCATGTGCAACTTAGTCTACACCTTGTGTTTATGTATGCGAGTCTATCATTTATTTGTGGCTTTGTAGCTCTTATACATTTGTTTGTATGCATCTGTTGATTAGAGGAGTGGCAGAGAGCGCTATGAATCGTCAATGTGAATTACCATCAAACCGTATGGCTTCATCTGCCCTCGATCAACTCGGTCTTAACGGAGGAGCTTTGGTGCTGGCCACACCACTCATTCCTACACTGTTCCTGCTTTAATAGGTGCTCTCTAACAGAGTGATGTTTTTGTATATATACGGAGCTATAATTGGGCAACCTCGGTTTATTTCCTGGTCTTCTGTGGCCTAAATTAAGAACCAATGGGATACTGACAACAGCATCAGCACTGGGGTGATATATTACTGGGTAGTGCAAAGCCCAGTATTGAGCTGTGTGTCTTTAACATGTACACACGATCAGCACTTCACGGGACAGTTTATCCATGCCAAACGGATGGGGAGACAGGGAAATCTATGTTTTGTGTGCTGGTGTCTAGGGATCTCTGAGTTGACGCGTGTGTTCAGCCAGAGAGCGGTGATGCAGTGGTTCGTGTACTTTGCTACGAATCTAGCGAACCAAGTTAATTTCCAGCCACAGCTAACATCGGTACCAAATGTCGTATCACCGCCTCGTGCGTCGTGCCTGCCTTAACAGTGTTCATTTATACGACTTGTCCAAAATAATCTGTAAAGGCTACACAAGGCAGATCTTTGTCTTTATCTTTGTCCAGTCAGGAGGACTTCCATGCTCGGTGCGGCGTGGACGCTGTTTACTACCTCTCCTTCCAGCGCTACGCCATCGGCTTGCTCTGCATCATCACCGTGCTGTCGATGGGTGTCATCCTGCCCATCAACATCTCTGGAGATATGATGGGTGTGCGAATGCCCAGAGACAAACAGTAATCCCAAGGGATTGTTCGATATCGCCAACGCCTACACATTGTCAACACCGAGCTTCCCCTATGACCAAATCACCCTGAGTACTAAACTATTTTCATATTATATCAGGTAAGGCCCCTTGAGCCATATAGTTATTTTTAGAAGTGACCTAGCCACAAACGATAACTCAACAAAGTGGCTTATCTTGTCGTGATTTATAGCAGCCAAATACCCTAAACGCATATTTCTAAGTGTGGAGGGGAAAACCGGCGGACCCGGAGAAAAATCCACACAACCACGGGGAGAACATGCAAACTCCAAATATACAGCAGCAGGTGTCAGGGTCAGGATCGAACCCACGACCTCCTGTACACCAGAAGAGGTAATTAAGATCTCACCACGGGGAGAGAGAGAGACACGCAAACTCCAAATATACAGCACCAGGCGTCAGGGTCAGGATCGAACCCACGACCTCCTGTACACCAGGAGAGGTATTTAAGATCTCACCACGGGGAGAGAGAGAGACACGCAAACTCCAAATATACAGCAGCAGGCGTCAGAATGTCGGGATCGAACCCACGACCTCCTGTAGACCAGGCGAGGTAATTAAGATCTCACCACGGGGAGAGAGAGAGACACGCAAACTCCAAATATACAGCAGCAGGCGTCAGAATGTCGGGATCGAACCCACGACCTCCTGTAGACCAGGCGAGGTAATTAAGATCTCACCACGGGGAGAGAGAGAGACACGCAAACTCCAAATATACAGCAGCAGGCGTCAGGATGTCGGGATCGAACCCACGACCTCCTGTAGACCAGGCGAGGTAATTAAGATCTCACCACGGGGAGAGAGAGAATATACAGCAGCAGGCGTCAGGATGTTGGGATCAAACCCACGGCCTCCTGTAGACCAGGCGAGGTAATTAAGATCTCACCACGGGGAGAGAGAGAGACATGCAAACTCCAAATATACAGCAGCAGGCGTCAGGATGTCGGGATCGAGCTGATGAACTCCCACATACCAGGCGAGGTCATTAACATCTCATAGCCACCGTATGCCCGCTCTCGTCAGATCTCGGAATCTAAGCAGTGTTGGGCCCAAGTAGTGCTTAGATAGGGGACCACAATGCATAAATGCTTTGTCATAGGTGGCTGTGGGACCATGCTAAGTAGTGGGCAGCAGAGGGCAATGCAACGCAATTCATTTTTGTTATGTATATCTGTCTATCCGCGTCTCTGTTTCCCTCCTTCACCAACCGCAGACTGACCAGTGTGGTGAAGTATGGTCACAATAATCCATACGACCTGCACAGGCATGAGAGAGGCCCTCATCCAGAAGTGGATTACACATGTACACACGCTTAAACACCATATGCAAGAGGGAGATGTTGCCAGGCTTAATATACGCATTTAAAAAATGACAAAAAATAGTAAAAGGTAATAAAAAGTATCCTCTTGGAATTTACGTTTGGCTGTATTCCTTTGTTAGGGGGAGAGAGAGGATGATGGGTGAATACGGTATATTTTGTACATTTGTAAACGTTGATAATGTGTATCAATCACAGTGCCTGATTCCTAATTATAACCTTGACGCCAGCCTAAACGTAATAAATGTGAGTGTAAAGTGAATCAATGGGTAATTACACAGAACTTTATATTTCAGGTGGTGACATTTACAACTTTGGCCGTACAACGATAGTCAACATATCTCCATCGTAAGTACCCCACGGCTTGTGAAGTTTATGTGTTTTAGGTTTATTTCGCACATCCTGCAGACGTAAAATTATCGTTCGCGGAATGGCGGTGAGATTTAGCAGACACAATGGGCCTGTGGGTCAATGGACGCCTTGGCAGATTAGCGGCTCGTTAATGCACGATCGGTAGGAATTACGTCCAATCACGTCCACGCATTTAACGATTGTTCTGCTTGTGATGGTAATTTCAGTAATGTGGGTACACTATGCAACATCAGAGGCTCATGTAGCCACTTGTCCTCAAACCACGGTTTAGTGAAGCTGTAATAAATATGCGTTTAACAATTCACAAATTCCCCCCCCCCCACCCTTCCAGGGATTTTATGAATAATTTCAATTTGGGGATTGATTTTGATTCAAGAATCAATTCCTGTTTGAAGTTGCGATGCGTTTAGAATCTGGAGTGGCTGATGTGGTTTACATGAAGCAATCCCATGCAACATATATGAATGGAAAATTGTCGATTCTTGCATGGATGATTTATTGCATAGTGGTCATGAAAGTGCATTTTTGTGTTCCAGTTGATGCTATTTGGCAGAATGCGAATACAAAAGGACAGCTGGTCTTTAGTAGAATTCTAACGCAAGTCGAAAATGTGGTGCATTAAGTGTTACACACCTAGTAAGATGTAATGTAATTAAGTAGAGCACTAAACTTATATTATAATTACTGTTCCTTAAAAACTCATATAATGCATATCACGACCTTCATCCAGTAGTGGATAGATCATGGCTGATAACGATGATTATTACTCAACAAAAATTGGAATGTTTTGGCCACCGGTGTGTTGAAGAGTGAATCCACAACATTTACAGTTTGGCGAATTGCCCGATGATGCTGGATGTATTTACCAGCGAAACGTTGTACTCAAACTGTAAATGTTGTGGATTCACTCTTCAACACACCGTGGGCTAAAGTAGTGAATTATTTGTCTTTTGTCAACATGACACTTTTTTTGCTGATTGGCCATGTCGGGTGGTGGAGGGTTACAACACATTTATAAATAACGCGATCTAACCCAAAAACCTTTATTATGAATAATATTGGTCGCGAAAGCCTACATGTTAAACTGGAATGTTTTGACTAAAATAAGTTGCTATTCTCCAAAGCCAAATGGGATACTTTTCACCTGTGTTTGGTTGGGTCTATATGCGTGTGGTGCTTACTTATGGAGCTTGCTCCTCCAGTGTATACAGATAAATGGAGATCTTTATATATGTGCGTTTGTCTTTGTTTCGTGGGGAGCTGTAGTGGTTAGCGCACTGCACCATGAACCTGGTGACCTGCGTTCGATTCCTGCTCATGACCAACACCCGTGGTGATTATCTGAATCGGTCCTGGGCCTCTCCTCGGTCGAATAAGTCTCAAATGAGTACCTGGTGCTGTGTGTAAACATCACCACTAGGGAGACAAAGTCGGCGAGGCGTGGCACTGGCCACCCACCCCCTCGTGTGCTCTGCCGGCCTTGCAGGTGTCCCCTAACAGCACTTGCCCCAACAGTCTCTTAAGGTTATATGGGGGATCTCTGTATGTGTGCATTTCACAGAAACAATATCCTGTGGGTTCACACCACATTCACAGTCCTCTACTTCTTCATCACCGTGGTTCTGATGCAGAGGCATCGACGGCTCGTTGACCACAAGCACGAAAACATGGTGAGACCACAGCCCAAAGATGGGCACATTTAGCCTCGACACTGCCTTTTTCCATTAAGACAAGAGGACCACAATGCACTTCTTCAGGAAATGCTAGTGGTTTTTGCACAATTTTGTGTGTTGTTTAAAACTTCATCAAGCAGTGGATTATTAATCGATAGCGGTTGTTCATACTGCAGTTTCGTGTTTTTAAAATCGCTCCACCCTGCTCTCGCTTACCTCTTTGTTTGACCATTTTGATCCTGTTCCACTTTCCTCTCATTGGTCAACAAATTACAAATCCAGGTAAATCCATTTGTATATAAACAATCGTGAAGGTATAGCAGTCTTCTCTAATTTTCAGAGGTGGGCTTCTTTAGCCGATAAGACATCACCTGTGTGAGGGCCGCCACATCATTGTTGGCTTTGACAGCGGCACGATGATGATGGGGGGGGGGGGTGTTTTCACCCTTTGTGTATTGTCGGGGGCCGCACGACAGGGCTAAAGGCCACCTGGGGCCACCATTGGCCCGCGTGCCTTGCAATGAAGAACGCTGACTTAGAGTGATGCAATGAAGAACACTGACTTAGAGTGACACATTGAAGAACACTGACTTAGAGTGACACAATGAAGAACACTGACTTAGTGACACAATAAAGAACACTGACTTAGAGTGACACAATGAAGAACACTGACTTAGTGACACATTGAAGAACACTGGCTTAGTGACACAATGAAGAACACTGACTTAGAGTGACACAATAAAGAACACTGACTTAGAGTGACACAATGAAGAACACTGACTTAGAGTGACACAATGAAGAACACTGACTTAGAGTGACACATTGAAGAACACTGACTTAGAGTGACACATTGAAGAACACTGACTTAGTGTGACACAATGAAGAACACTGACTTAGAGTGACACAATGAAGAACACTGACTTAGAGTGACACATTGAAGAACACTGACTTAGAGTGACACAATGAAGAACACTGACTTAGTGACACATTGAAGAACACTGACTTAGAGTGACACAATGAAGAACACTGACTTAGAGTGACACAATGAAGAACGCTGACTTAGAGTGACGCAATGAAGAACACTGACTTAGTGTGACACAATGAAGAACGCTGACTTAGTGACACAATGAAGAACACTGACTTAGAGTGACACAATGAAGAACACTGACTTAGAGTGACACAATGAAGAACGCTGACTTAGAGTGACACAATGAAGAACGCTGACTTATAGTGACACAATGAAGAACACTGACTTAGAGTGACACAATGAAGAACACTGACTTAGAGTGACACAATGAAGAACACTGACTTAGAGTGACACAATGAAGAACACTGACTTAGAGTGACACAATGAAGAACACTGACTTAGTGTGACACAATGAAGAACACTGACTTAGTGACACAATGAAGAACACTGACTTAGTGTGACACAATGAAGAACACTGACTTAGAGTGACACAATGAAGAACACTGACTTACAGTGACACAATGAAGAACACTGACTTACAGTGACACAATGAAGAACACTGACTTAGAGTGACACAATGAAGAACACTGACTTAGTGACACAATAAAGAACACTGACTTAGAGTGACACAATGAAGAACACTGACTTAGAGTGACACATTGAAGAACACTGACTTAGTGACACAATGAAGAACACTGACTTAGAGTGACGGAATGAAGAACACTGACTTAGTGACACAATGAAGAACACTGACTTAGAGTGACACAATGAAGAACACTGACTTAGAGTGACACAATGAAGAACACTGACTTAGAGTGACACATTGAAGAATACTGACTTAGAGTGACACAATGAAGAACACTGACTTAGAGTGACACAATGAAGAACACTGACTTAGTGACACAATGAAGAACACTGACTTAGAGTGACACAATGAAGAACACTGACTTAGAGTGACACAATGAAGAACACTGACTTAGTGACACAATAAAGAACACTTAGAGTGACACAATGAAGAACACTGACTTAGAGTGACACATTGAAGAACACTGACTTAGTGACACAATGAAGAACACTGACTTAGAGTGACGGAATGAAGAACACTGACTTAGTGACACAATGAAGAACACTGACTTAGAGTGACACAATGAAGAACACTGACTTAGAGTGACACAATGAAGAACACTGACTTAGAGTGACACATTGAAGAATACTGACTTAGAGTGACACAATGAAGAACACTGACTTAGAGTGACACAATGAAGAACACTGACTTAGTGACACAATGAAGAACACTGACTTAGAGTGACACAATGAAGAACACTGACTTAGAGTGACACAATGAAGAACACTGACTTAGTGACACATTGAAGAACACTGACTTAGAGTGACACAATGAAGAACACTGACTTAGTGACACAATGAAGAACACTGACTTAGAGTGACACAATGAAGAACACTGACTTAGAGTGACACATTGAAGAACACTGACTTAGAGTGACACAATGAAGAACACTGACTTAGAGTGACACAATGAAGAACACTGACTTAGAGTGACACAATGAAGAACACTGACTTAGTGACACATTGAAGAACACTGACTTAGAGTGACACAATGAAGAACACTGACTTAGAGTGACACAATGAAGAACACTGACTTAGTGACACATTGAAGAACACTGACTTAGAGTGACACAATGAAGAACACTGACTTAGAGTGACACAATGAAGAACACTGACTTAGAGTGACACAATGAAGAACACTGACTTAGAGTGACACAATGAAGAACACTGACTTAGTGACACAATGAAGAACACTGACTTAGTGTGACACAATGAAGAACACTGACTTAGTGACACAATAAAGAACACTGACTTAGTGACACAATGAAGAACGCTGACTTAGAGTGACACAATGAAGAACACTGACTTAGAGTGACGGAATGAAGAACACTGACTTAGAGTGACACATTGAAGAACACTGACTTAGAGTGACACAATGAAGAACACTGACTTAGAGTGACACATTGAAGAACACTGACTTAGTGACACAATGAAGAACACTGACTTAGAGTGACACAATGAAGAACACTGACTTAGTGACACAATGAAGAACACTGACTTATAGTGACACAATGAAGAACACTGACTTAGAGTGACACAATGAAGAACACTGACTTAGAGTGACACATTGAAGAACGCTGACTTAGAGTGACACAATGAAGAACACTGACTTAGAGTGACACAATGAAGAACACTGACTTAGTGACAATGAAGAACACTGACTTAGTGACACAATGAAGAACACTGACTTAGAGTGACACAATGAAGAACACTGACTTAGAGTGACACAATGAAGAACACTGACTTAGTGACACAATGAAGAACGCTGACTTAGAGTGACACAATGAAGAACACTGACTTAGAGTGACGGAATGAAGAACACTGACTTAGTGACATATTGAAGAACACTGACTTAGAGTGACACAATGAAGAACACTGACTTAGAGTGACACAATGAAGAACACTGACTTAGAGTGACACAATGAAGAACACTGACTTAGTGACACAATGAAGAACACTGACTTAGAGTGACACAATGAAGAACACTGACTTAGTGACACAATGAAGAACACTGACTTATAGTGACACAATGAAGAACACTGACTTAGAGTGACACAATGAAGAACACTGACTTAGAGTGACACATTGAAGAACGCTGACTTAGAGTGACACAATGAAGAACACTGACTTAGAGTGACACAATGAAGAACACTGACTTAGTGACAATGAAGAACACTGACTTAGTGACACAATGAAGAACACTGACTTAGAGTGACACAATGAAGAACACTGACTTAGAGTGACACAATGAAGAACACTGACTTAGTGACACAATGAAGAACGCTGACTTAGAGTGACACAATGAAGAACACTGACTTAGAGTGACGGAATGAAGAACACTGACTTAGTGACATATTGAAGAACACTGACTTAGAGTGACACAATGAAGAACACTGACTTAGAGTGACACAATGAAGAACACTGACTTAGAGTGACACAATGAAGAACACTGACTTAGTGACACAATGAAGAACACTGACTTAGAGTGACACATTGAAGAACACTGACTTAGTGACACAATGAAGAACACTGACTTAGAGTGACACAATGAAGAACACTGACTTAGAGTGACACAATGAAGAACACTGACTTAGCGTGACACAATGAAGAACACTGACTTAGAGTGACACAATGAAGAACACTGACTTAGAGTGACACAATGAAGAACACTGACTTAGTGACACAATGAAGAACGCTGACTTAGAGTGACACAATGAAGAACACTGACTTAGAGTGACGGAATGAAGAACACTGACTTAGTGACATATTGAAGAACACTGACTTAGAGTGACACAATGAAGAACACTGACTTAGAGTGACACAATGAAGAACACTGACTTAGAGTGACACAATGAAGAACACTGACTTAGTGACACAATGAAGAACACTGACTTAGAGTGACACATTGAAGAACACTGACTTAGTGACACAATGAAGAACACTGACTTAGAGTGACACAATGAAGAACACTGACTTAGAGTGACACAATGAAGAACACTGACTTAGCGTGACACAATGAAGAACACTGACTTAGAGTGACACAATGAAGAACACTGACTTAGAGTGACACATTGAAGAACACTGACTTAGAGTGACACAATGAAGAACACTGACTTAGAGTGACACAATGAAGAACACTGACTTAGAGTGACACAATGAAGAACACTGACTTAGAGTGACACAATGAAGAACACTGACTTAGAGTGACACAATGAAGAACACTGACTTAGAGTGACACATTGAAGAACACTGACTTAGAGTGACACAATGAAGAACACTGACTTAGAGTGACACAATGAAGAACACTGACTTAGAGTGACACAATGAAGAACACTGACTTAGAGTGACACAATGAAGAACACTGACTTAGAGTGACACAATGAAGAACACTGACTTAGAGTGACACATTGAAGAACACTGACTTAGAGTGACACATTGAAGAACGCTGACTTAGAGTGACGCTATGAAGAACACTGCTCTACGGATTTGTCGATGTGGAGGCAGTATTGTGTGGGACACGTGCAGGATGGGGGAGGGCAGGTTAGTGAGACTGGTAATTGAATGATGCTCAGAGGTCAGTGACTAAGGGAAGACCTCATTCCAGTTTGTTGTGGGATGCTGTGATTTTTTTTTTTGGTCAGCTGTCAACTTTGTATGTGTGTATGTTTAATGTCTTTCGCCGCATACGTAGCCAACCGTGCTAACTGTAGGTGCGAGAGAACGTTGACTAAACACAGACAGCAGTTCTAAAGAAATTAGTTTCCAATCTAGATTAAAGTGCATAGCTCCAGGTGCTTCCTAATATCGGAAGGAAGCGCATTCCAGATAGCTGCAGAAACGCATCTAAAAGCGCACAATGCAGTGACCGTCTTTGTTCGATGGTTAGCCAAAAGCCGCTGCGAGGTTCACCCGAGTTTGCGTGATGGTTTTTGCTCCTTGACGAGATCAGCAAGGTATTGTGGTTCATTTGTGGCAAGCACTTTGTGTGTAAAACCTTGGAACAGTATTCGTGTCTATGAGAAGAAAATTAGGAATAGTATGGTGTGGTAACAATCAACTAAATTTTCCGTGATAACCTCTGAACCTTAACATATATTTAATGTATTGTTGCTATTCCTCCCCTCTAGGAGATGAGAACCTTGTTCATCACTGGACTACCGAAAGAAATTACCAACTCGGCTATAGTGGCCGCACACTTCCAGTGAGTATAACCGTACCGGGGAACTGTCCCTGTGCTTGAGTACCAGACGCTGGTTTGTGGCAGGGCTCTGTGTGGCCATGTGATTGCAGCCACTGAGCCCACTACCAGCTGCCCAGAGGTAGATGTTAAAGACCAGGTTTGTTTCCGAAATAGTTCATTGTGTGTTGCAGTGGGCACGAATATGTAATTTATATAGAGGGCGCCACGGTGGCGAGATGTTAACTACCTCGCTTTGTATACAGGAGGTTGTGGGTTCAATCCCAGCCCTTATGCCTGCTGTATATTTGGAGTTCATTCTCTGGGTCCTCTGGTTTATCCCTCCAGAATTAGAAACGTGTGTTAAAAGTATTTGGCTGCTATACATTTTGACATGATAAGCCACTTCGTTGAGCTATAATTTGTGGTCAGATTGCTTCTGAAAAAGAGCTACATAGCTCAGGGGGCCTTACCTGGTAACATAAAATAGTTATAGTTTTTATAGTAGTTTAGTAATTGAAAATGTTTAAATAATAAAAAAATAGTAATTGACAGTCCGTTGTCCATCAACTGCTGGATGAAGGCCTTGACACACCCTGCTGGTCATGGGGATTGTTTGGCCATGCCTCACTACACTGCGCTTGACAGTGTGCGTCAGTGTGGCGGTGGCCCAGGACTCGTCCAAATATCACTTTGAACTGATCATTTTTGTCTGCAAATAACACCTTTGGCAACTGACAACTTAACCTTTGCCCTTCCCTATATCGGCTAAAGCAAAACAAGTGCATTAATACTGCATGGTCAATATCAGTACTTGAGAAAGACAGATACGTATGAGAAATTGGTCACACCGCTCTTGTGTGTGCCACACAAGCCTGAATAAGTTGCTCGCTAACAGTGCTCGCGAGATGATGGCCGGTGGTCGAGACTAGCCAGGGAATGGCAGCCAAGGGAGAGAACACCCCGAAGAGAATATGGAGCGATCAAATCAGCTGAAATCGGCTGACGTGCAGGTGCGAGGTAGATCGCAACGCACGACGACATTGAGGAGGCCTTCGTCCGCGTCAATCATCACTCCACCAGTGAGCATTGGTGACTACACTGTACCGATGAGTCTATTTTTGTGTCGCTGGTGCATCTCCGTCGGTTACATTTACTCAAATTTGTTTTGATGGTGAATTAAGACAAAAACCACAATGTACTGCTTCAGGAAATGCAGGTGGTGGATTGATAATGAATTGTGGTTGATGATTATGATAAAAATGGTCAACAGTCCATAAGGCTCAACAGGGATCATGTGTGTCTCCATCGTGCGTGTGTGTGTCTCTGTGGTGCGTGTGTCTCTGTGGTGTGTGCGTGTGTCTCTGTGGTGCGTGCGTGTGTCTCTGTGGTGCGTGTGTCTCTGTGGTGCGTGCGTGTGTCTCTGTGGTGCGTGCGTGTGTCTCTGTGGTGCGTGCGTGTGTCTCTGTGGTGCGTGCGTGTGTCTCTGTGGTGCGTGCGTGTGTCTCTGTGGTGCGTGCGTGCGTGTGTCTCTGTGGTGCGTGCGTGTGTCTCTGTGGTGCGTGTGTCTCTGTGGTGCGTGTGTCTCTGTGGTGCGTGCGTGTGTCTCTGTGGTGCGTGCGTGTGTCTCTGTGGTGCGTGCGTGTGTCTCTGTGGTACGTGCGTGTGTCTCTGTGGTGCGTGCGTGTGTCTCTGTGGTGCGTGCGTGTGTCTCTGGTGCGTGCGTGTGTCTCTGTGGTGCGTGCGTGTGTCTCTGGTGCGTGCGTGTGTCTCTGTGGTGCGTGCGTGTGTCTCTGTGGTGCGTGCGTGTGTCTCTGTGGTGCGTGTGTGTGTCTCTGTGGTGCGTGCGTGTGTCTCTGTGGTGCGTGCGTGTGTCTCCGTGGTGCGTGCGTGTGTCTCTGTGGTGCGTGCGTGTGTCTCTGTGGTGCGTGCGTGTGTCTCTGTGGTGCGTGCGTGTGTCTCTGTGGTGCGTGCGTGTGTCTCTGTGGTGCGTGCGTGTGTCTGTGGTGCGTGCGTGTGTCTCTGTGGTGCGTGCGTGTGTCTCTGTGGTGCGTGCGTGTGTCTCTGTGGTGCGTGCGTGTGTCTCTGTGGTGCGTGCGTATGTCTCTGTGGTGCGTGTGTCTCTGTGGTGCGTGTGTGTGTCTCTGTGGTGCGTGTGTCTCTGTGGTGCGTGCGTGTGTCTCTGTGGTGCGTGCGTGTGTCTCTGTGGTGCGTGCGTGTGTCTCTGTGGTGCGTGCGTGTGTCTCTGTGGTGCGTGCGTGTGTCTCTGTGGTGCGTGTGTCTCTGTGGTGCGTGCGTGTGTCTCTGTGGTGCGTGTGTCTCTGTGGTGCGTGCGTGTGTCTCTGTGGTGCGTGCGTGTGTCTCTGTGGTGCGTGCGTGTGTTTCGCAGCGAGGCGTACCCGGGCTGCACCGTGACGGGGGTACAGTTCTGCTACGACGTTCAACGACTCATGAAGCTGGACACTAAAAAGTAAACATTGTGGTTTTTGACATTTGGTACGGTGGCGACTTATTTTGATATCTCCGTACAAATACGATGTGCTGCTGTATATTAAACGTTAAACAAAACCTGTACATATATTAATTTGTGCATGCTTTGATATAAGAATAGATGAGATTTGTTTATTTCTGTACGTAATAAAAAAAATGTCAAATGTGTCGGTATAAGTGAGTCGATGGGGTCACATACGATGAGAATATTCTCCAGTGAACACAACGTGATCCTGCGTCACAGATCTCGCATTTGTGTTCAACAAAATCACAAATATATAAAACACAGTAAAGCAGAACAAGGAGCAATCAATCACTAATAAAGGGGAAGGTTAATTAAGGAGTTAAACATAATGGGGGAAGTGATTGCAGGAATGTCAGCCCCTCCTGCTGAATTGAACGTTTTTACCTTTTTACAACTGAGGCTGAAAGCATTGATGATTTGGCTCTGTCCGTCCGTCCATCTATCCGTGAATGGAGGGGAACGCTCGAACTCTCATACATGTGGTCCAATATGAACACAACTTGTAAGAATACTTTTCCTACCCTATAGAAATAATTTGAAGAGTTTTTAAAGGGTTGCCCAGAACTTGGAGGCAAACCAGAGCAAGGGGCCTTTTGCAGTAGCAAAAGCAACTGCGGTGTGAGCGTATGCGTGGTCCATCGATGGGCATTTGAAAGTCCCGTTCGGCCGTCATGAAGGAAAGGTTTCCCGTGATGTGGAGGGTGCTGCGTGGGTTCAGTGCAATCACGCAAAGTGACGAGAGCCGGCGTGCGTCCCTGTGCCAGGCGGCGAGCCATGCAGGGCCGACTCTACTGCCTGGCCATGTCCAAGAAGGAGCGGGCACCCGTCATGGTGCGAGTCCGCGCCCAGGGCTGCCTCCGCCTGTGCGACGTCTGCGGAATCTGTCGGAAGGTCGGCGTATGTGTGTGTGCATTGTGTGTGTGTGTGCATTGTGTGTGTGCATTGTGTGTGTGTGTGCATTGTGTGTGTATTGTGTGTGTGTGTGCATTGTGTGTGTGCATTGTGTGTGTGTGCATTGTGTGCATTAATTACCACGAAACCACGAATTAAACTGAAATATGTAACAACTAAGCTTGTGCCGGAGGCCCCGGGGGGCCAGGCGTCTATGACGTCTCCTGGCCAAACCCCAATTGGCGGAGCCAGGAGATTGAATACCTACCCTCGGGGCTACTCCAGAAACAACGAAAAGCCACTACGGGTGGCCACGTGGAATGTTCGAACGCTCACTGCAGAGGAGAGGCTGCCACTCCTCTGTCGGGAGCTGGACCGGTACCGCCTGGATCTATGCGGCATTCAGGAGGTCCGGTGGACCGGCTCTGGCTCCTGCCACCATGAGGGGTGGACAGTCCTCTACTCGGGGCAGCAGACTGCCAAACAACAGGGTGTGGGTCTTCTTTTGAACAAAAGAATGAAGGGGGCGTGGGAGCGTGGCGGTGAGGTGTGGGAAGCTGTAAGCCCCAGGCTACTTTGGGCTCGCCTTCCCATCAACCGGAGGCGAGGAATGGTGGTCGTGGTTACTTATGCCCCCACCGAAGATGAACATCCGTGGAGGGATGCAGGCAAAGCCGATGAGTCAGATGCCTTCTATGACCTCCTGTCACAGGTGCTGGCTAAAGTGGCCCCTCGGGATAGAGTCATCATGTTGGGTGACTTCAATGCCCGAGTTGGTCATGATACTGGCACCTGGTCTGGAGTGATTGGAGGGCATGGGCCAGATCAGCTCAATAACAACGGTAGGAGGCTGCTAGATTTTTGTGCAGCCCATGGGCTTGTAATTACCAACACGCTGTTCCGGCATCGGCGCATCCACACAACATCATGGATGCATGCCGGGTCCAAGCAAGAACATCTGCTGGACTACATAGTGACGGACCAGCGAATGCGAGCCCATGTCCTTGACACCAGGACCTACCGTGGAGCTGATCTGCCCTCTGACCATCGACTAGTCATCTGTAAGATGCGCCTGCCATTCTTCCACTCCGGTGGTGGGTGTACACCCAGGACCCCATGCCAACCTAAAGTGGCCTGGTCTCAGTTATCTGATGAAAGTTGCAAGCGAGAATTTCATCATCGCTTGCGGCTGGGATTGGCATCGTCCCCGACTCCTCCTGATGTCGAGGGTAAATGGGCGAGGTTTAGGACTGTGACTCATGCAGCTGCAATGGCTGCTTTGGGTACGCGGTCCAGACCTCCCCAGACACCCTGGCTGACAGAGGAGTTGTTCAGGATGGTTGAGAAAAAGCGACAGGCCCACTGTCATCGGCTACAGAATCCCACGTCAGAGAATGAGGAGGCTTACCGCAGCCTTCGCTCGGAGGTTCGGAGAGCCGTGAGGCGCTGCAAGGATGGGTGGTGGTCGCGGGTTGCTGAGGAGATGGAGTCTGCCTCAGTGGCCCGTGATCACAAATCTCTATTTAACTCCATCAAAAAAGTAACCTGCAGCGCCACACCTATTACCATCATTAGGGGAAAAAACGGTGATCCAATTTCCGACCCCCAGGAACAGGTTCGCAGATTTGCTGAGCATTTCTGTGAGGTCCTGGGGGAGGGAAAATCCCTCAGCCAGGAAAACATCGTGGCACAAAGTGAGGATGACCCTGCTGAGGCTGCGGTGCCTCAAATATTGGATGAAGTCACCCCCTGTGAGTGGCTGGCTGAGGTTCCATCTGCTGAGGAAGTATTGAAGGCGATCCGGAGTCTGAGACCAGGAAAGGCAGCGGGCAGAGATGATCTCCCAAGCGAAATGCTGAGGGAGGGTGGCGTTTGTGCACAGACTGCCCTATATGACATCATAACAACAGTCTGGACCACTGGAAGGGTTCCGCAGGATTGGAAGGATGCCCTGGTGGTCCCCCTTTTTAAGAAGGGGGGCCGCACAGACTGTAACAACTACAGGGGCATCTCACTCCTCAGTGTGCCGGGAAAGGTCCTGGCAAGGATTATTCAGCATCGCCTTGCCAGGCACGCTGAGGAGAGGCTTGCGGAGCCCCAATGCGGTTTCAGGAAAGGGCGGTCCTGCACAGATGCCATATTTTCTGTCCGTCTGCTACAGCAGAGGTGTAGGGAATTCCAACAAGACCTACATCTCTGCTTTATTGACCTGGTCAAGGCCTATGATACCATCAGTAGGCCTGGGCTCTGGGTCGTTCTTTGTGCTTTTGGAGTACCTGACCCTCTGCTCACGATCATTAAGGACCTTCATGATGGTGAGCGGGCCCGGGTAAAACTACGTGGCCGGGAGTCAGAGCCATTCCCTGTACACCTTGGGGTGCGACAGGGATGTCCTCTGGCTCCCACATTATTTAACATCTATTTTGACCACGTAGTTCGTGAAGCCTTCAATAGCTGTACCGGGGGAATCTCCATATGGTACAGATATAATGGGAGGCTAATCGATGCCCGGGTGCGGTCAAGGGATGGCTCCCTATTGCTCAACCACGTTATGTATGCTGATGATTTGGTAATAGCTGCTCAGTCAGAGGAGGAGTTGGAGACGCTGCTGCTGAGACTGGAGCGTGCCACTAAGAGGTGGGGCCTCACCATCAGCCCCACCAAAACTAAGCACCTGCCTGGGTATTTTGTACCATCGGACACTCCACCCCCACAACTCCCAATCGGTGATGGGGCAGTTGTGGAGAGAGTGGAGAGTTTCCCATACCTGGGCAGTGTGCTTATTACTGGCTCCAGTTTAACAGCAGAGGTCTCACTCCGAATCAGTCGAGCGGCAATATCTTTTCATCGGTTGCGTAACGCTGTGTGGAAGCTACCTGGTCTGTCGCTCCGCACTAAGCTTCAGGTCTTCTCGGCCACGGTCATTCCCTCCCTTCTCTACGCTTGCGAAACGTGGACCCCCCTGGTGGAACATCTTCGCCGGTTAGAAACATTTAGGCTGGCCTGCCTACGATCCATCCTGGGCTTAACCAGACTGGATTGTGTGAGGAGCTCACAAATCCTTGAAAGATCTGGGCAGGGTCCCATCGGTGAGCTCCTCCGGCAGGCAAGGCTGCGATGGCTGGGTCATGTAGCCCGCATGCCCAGCCACCGCATGCCGAAACAGCTTTTGTTTGGCCGGATTGAGGGGGCTAAGCGGGCGCGGCACGGGCTAGAGAAGAGATGGAGTGATGTGGTACAGGAGGACGTGGAGCTGAGTGGACTTGCCGATGACTGGTACCAGCGGTGTCAAGATCGGCCTCTGTGGAGGAGGCTCGTGAAGGACGCTACTGGGCAGTTGGAGGCAGTCGCCCTCCAACAACAACGGAGGGCGGAGGAGCGACGCTCACAACAACGAGCGGAACGCCGGGTGGCTAAAGCACAGCAGGTTGGCACAGTAGGGGGCACAGGTGGTGCATCAGCCAGTCATCTCAGTCAGTCGACCCGTGGCACCTGGGTCTGCCCAGTGACCTCCTGCCAGCGGGCGTTCGACACTTCACGTGGCCTCACGGTGCACATAGCCTGGCACAAGCGTCGTGGTGACGTCACCGCCACTTAGTGGCGAATGTCGGTTGTTGTTGTGTGCATTGTGTGTGTGCATTGTGTGTGTGTGCATTGTGTGTGTGTGTGTGCATTGTGTGTGTGCATTGTGTGTGTATTGTGTGTGTGTGCATTGTGTGCATTGTGTGTGTGTGTGCATTGTGTGTGTGTGTGCATTGTGTGTATTGTGTGTGTGCATTGTGTGCATTGTGTGTGTGCATTGTGTGTATTGTGTGTGTGTGCATTGTGTGTGTGCATTGTGTGTGTGTGTGCATTATGTGCGTGTGTGTGTGTACACTTTGTGTGTATTGTGTGCATTGTGTGTGTGTGTGTGCATTGTGTGCGTGTGTGTGCATTGATTTGGTAATAGCTGCTCAGTCAGAGGAGGAGTTGGAGACGCTGCTGCTGAGACTGGAGCGTGCCACTAAGAGGTGGGGCCTTACCATCAGCCCCACCAAAACTAAGCACCTGCCTGGGTATTTTGTACCATCGGACACTCCACCCCCACAACTCCCAATCGGTGATGGGGCAGTTGTGGAGAGAGTGGAGAGTTTCCTATACCTGGGTAGTGTGCTTATGACTGGCTCCAGTTTAGCAGCAGAGGTCTCACTCCGAATCAGTCGAGCGGCAATATCTTTTGATCGGTTGCGTAACACTGTGTGGAAGCTACCTGGTCTGTCGCTCCGCACTAAGCTTCAGGTCTTCTCGGCCACGGTCATTCCCTCCCTTCTCTACGCTTGCGAAACGTGGACCCCCCTAATGGAACATCATCGCCGGTTAGAAACATTTAGGCTGGCCTGCCTACGATCCATTCTGGGTTTAACCAGACTGGATTGTGTGAGGAGCTCACAAATCCTTGAAAGATCTGGGCAAGGTCCCATCGGTGAGCTCCTCCGGCGGGCAAGGCTGCGATGGCTGGGTCATGTAGCCCGCATGCCCAGCCAACGCATGCCGAAACAGCTTTTTTTCGGCCGGATTGAGGGGGCTAAGCGGGCGCGGCACGGGCTAGAGAAGAGATGGAGTGATGTGGTACAGGAGGACGTGGAGCTGAGTGGACTTGCCGATGACTGGTACCAGCGGTGTCAAGATCGACCTCTGTGGAGGAGGCTCGTGAAGGATGCTACTGGGCATTTGGAGGTAGTCGCCCTCCAACAACAACGGAGGGCGGAGGAGCGACGCTCACAACAACGAGCGGAGCGCCGGGTGGCTAAAGCACAGCAGGTTGGCACAGTAGGGGGCACAGGTGGTGCATCAGCCAGTCATCTCAGTCAGTCGACCCGTGACACCTGGGTCTGCCCCGTGACCTCCTGCCAGCGGGCGTTCGACACTTCACGTGGCCTCAGGGTGCACATAGCCTGGCACAAGCGTCGTGGTGACGTCACCGCCACTTAGTGGCGAATGGCGGTTGTTGTTGTTGCATTGTGTGTACACTTTGTGTGTATTGTTTGCGTGTGTGTGTGCATTGTGTGTGTGCATTGTGTGTGCATTGTGTGAGTGTCAGTGTATTGTATGCGTGTGTGTGCATTGTGTGTACACTTTGTGTATTGTGTGCGTGTGTGTGCGTGTGTGTGCGTGTGTGTGCATTGTGTGTGCATTGTGTGTGCATTGTGTGTGTGCATTATGTATGCATGTCAGTGCATTGTATGCGTGTGTGTGCATTGTGTACGTGTGTGTGCATTGTGTGTACACTTTGTGTATTGTGTGCGTGTGTGTTCATTGTGTGCATGTAAGTGCATTGTGTGTGCATTGTGTGTATATGTGTGCATTGTGTGTGCATTGTGTGTACATTGTGTGTGGGGAGCGATAGTGTAGCGGTTAGCGCGCTGCGCTATAAACCTGGCGACCCGGGTTCGATTCCCGCTCACGGCCAACACTAGTGACGATTATCTGAACCGGTCCCGGGCCTCCCCTAGGTCGACTCAGCCTCAAATGAGTACCTGGTGCGGTGTGTAAACATCGCGACTAGGGAGACAAAGGCGGTCGGGCGTGGTGCTGGCCACCCACCCCCTCGTGTACCGTTCCGGCCTTCCTAGGTGCTCGCTAACAGCACTTGCTCCTACAGTCTGTTATGGCTATATGGGTGATATTTGTCTTTGTGTGTACATTGTGTGTGCATTGTGTGTGTGCCAGTGCATTGTGTGTGGAGAGCAGTAGTGTAGCGGTTAGCGTGCTGCGCTATGAATCTAGCGACCCGGGTTCGATTTCCGCTCACGGCCAACACCAGTGACGATTATCTGAACCGGTCCTGGGCCTCCCCTAGGTCGACTCAGCCTGAAATAAGCACCTAGTGCAATGTGTAGCCATCAGCACTTGGGAGACAAAGGTGGCCAGGCGTGGTGTTGTTCACGCACCCCCTTCGTGTGCTGTGCCTGCCTTCACAGGTGCTCACTAACAGCACTTTCAACAACAGCTTGTTCAAAGGCTATACCCGGAATCTTTGTGTTTGTCTTTTTCACATGCCTCTCTGCAACCTCAGTAGATGTTCAATAACCCCACCTCCCCCCCGCCAGTCCGACTAACAAACCTCCTCCCCTGCCGTCACGCGTCCCCGCTTGGCCCCCGGCCGCCCGCCGGCACAGGTGGACGGCGTCCAGTACCACAGCGAGCGCGAGGAGGCGCTCACGGACGAGTGCGAGAACGAGAAGATGAGGGTGCTCACCAAGCCGCTGGGCATGGCCTTCGCCACCTTCCAGGACGCGTGCATGACCCAGGCGTGCGTCTTTTTTGTACAAGTTCTTCGTGACCTCGTGTGACCTTGTCGGGTCGATAGCGGCTTCAGTGGCGCCGTTTGTTGCTGGCCTCTCGGCATCTTGGGCGCCACTGGGCCCCGTGCTCAGCAACTGGGATATAAAAATAAAGCCACCGGCTCGGTCGCCCAACTGCCTCCCGTCCTGTGTGTTTGAAACGAAGATCTCGGCCCGTACAGGGTGCGGAAAAATTCATGAACGCAGAGATGTCGGGACGGCGCCTTTTGTGTTGTTGTGTGGAGGGATGTGCACAAAATTTAGCCGAGAAGAGAGGAGTTGCCTCTCGCGAGGATCTTCCTCTGCAAGCATTTGAAATCAGTCTTATAAGCCGGCCGCTCCACAGACGTGAGACAACCAAGGGCAAACATACGAGCTGAGTGCGCTAAGATCAAAGCGGACGTGTTGTGAAATGTTCAAGCATCCTGTGCAAAATGTCCCAAGTAAAATGGTGCGCAGTTTGAGCATCTGTTACGGTTTACCGTACGGACGCACGATTCCTGATTTTCGCCACACCCGGTATAATGCGAGTGCCGTGGTAATGATTTTCACGCTGCGCCTGGCCCCGTTCTTGGCAGCATCCTGCGCGAATACGGCTTGTGCCGCTGTCTGCGTCGACCCACGCGCTCCCGGGTGAGCGACTCTCTCCGCTCGTCTCGCTGGCATGTGAGCTACGCGCCTGCTCCGCAGACCATCTGCTGGTGAGACTCACAGACGCTCAGACACGCAAATGAACGGACGCATGCATGGGCACACACGCAGACATGTATTGGCACAAACCATTCGACTTAAACTATTTTTTATTGTGGAAATATATAGAAGCCAAATACTCAAAACGCATGTTTCTAAATGTGGAGGGAAAACCCGGACCTGGAGAAAAATCCACACAACCATGGGGAGAACATGCAAACTCCAAATTTACAGGCGTCAGGGTCGGGATCGAACCCACGACCTCCTGCATACCTGGCGAGGTAGTTAATATCTCGCCACCGTGGCGCCCCAAGGATATACGGCCAAATGCATAGATGAACAGACAGATATACATACAGACAGATGGAAGGACACATTGACAGGCACCGCAAATCATCTGCTAGTGAGTCACACATTCCGTCGGACACACGCAAGAGCAGATGGACACATGCGCCAATGGACAGATGCACATACACACAGACGAATTGACGGACAGACAGACACATGCACCAAGGGATGGATGGATAAACACTCACGAATGGCCATATGGACAGACACACAAATGGATGGATTTATGGATGAACACATCGACAACCCAACGGACGGACGGTCAGTCGCACGCACCAATAGACAGACGGACGGCCACACGAACGGACGGATAAGCACACAGACGGACGGAGCGACGGACGGACACAAAAATCTAAACCGGCACCCTGACCCGTGTGTGCACGCGAGCGTGCAGGGATAACCTGTCGGTGCAGGGTTGGGTCTGGTGGCTCCGCTTCTTCCTCATCAACGTCCCCCTGTTTGTGCTCATCTTCTTCCTGACGACGCCCTCGATCATCATCAGCAGCATGGACAAGTGGAACGTCACGCGCACTGTGGAGGACCTCAACGTGAGGACGTGCGCAGAGACTCTGCACTCAGCCACAGTCGTTTCGTGATGTCACGTGTGCGAGCTTGAATGCATACGCACAGATATATGTTCAGTCAATGCTCCATTATCCAGGGGTATTGGCAGAATGCGATGGCCCGGATAAAACAAAAGTATGGATTGTATGTTATTGTGGATATATGCTAAATAGGTTCCCACTTGTTGTATATTATATGGGCCGCCAGATTGCATGTTTTGGTTTTCACAGTTTATCCAATTTTTACCCAATGAAATGTTATCTCTGTTGTGGTTGCCCAGTCATTGCCAAGTTTTGCCGGTACTTGATGTTTCGTCGGCACAACCTGATGTATGCAGTTGTTCCCGTGCAGTGTCTAGAGATGTTGAGCGTATTAAAGGTGTTATATAAATCCAAATTATGAATGCAAACATTTCAGTTAGGCTATGAAAGATAATGCGTTTACCGATTGTAGAATGGGGGATGAATGCTCGGTGATGTGTCAAGTGGTTCTCTCCGTGAGATTCGCAACTCGTTTGTTTTTCAAGGGCTCCAATACCCCTTTAGGTAATCATCTCTTGTTTCTACTGCAGCATTTAAAATTATGTTCTGACTTTCATTGTTGTCCCTTTCCAATTTCTTTCCCTTGCCGAATGTTTCTTCTGTGTGTTGCCACTGCTCCTTGAGAAACGCTCTGTGTTTAAACGCAGCTCAATGAGAATCCTCCATTGCTGTTTATGTCTCCGTCTTTCCGTTACAGAACCCTCTCATCAGCCAGTTCTTCCCGTCCATTCTGCTGTGGATATTTTCAGCCACACTTCCCTTCATCGTCTACCAGTCCACTACCTATGAAGCACACTGGACTAAGTACGCTCCGTATTATTATTTATTGGCGTCGGAGAGCTGGGCTCTCCAATTATTTACATAATCAATGACTTATACCGATTATCAGTTCGATCGTTCGACTAATGAGATTATACGAGAATAGTTGTAAAACCAATTGAACTGTTCCCACGTGTGCCACTGGACGGGAGGTGATGCGCCGGGATCATCAGCTGTGTCACACTGGGCGAAGCTTGTTGGAGGATTCCCACCTTCAGGGAGCACGATATGGGTGCTGCCACCAACTTTAAATGGGCGCGAGTATATGACCACCCAAAAATTGTCGTCAATGACTTCTTTGTCGACTTAATGGGCTGATCGCCAAGGCTCTAAGCTGGATCTTAAGACACGCCTGTGAGCTGCGTGTGGAATCTCTCCGCACGCAGCTTCTGCAGCTGATGGCAAACCGCTGACCACTGCTGAGAGCCACCTTCGCTCGATTTGAATTCGCAACATTTTGTTTTCCCGTCTTTGAAGGTTTTTCCACTGATTGTACGTTCACGCGCCACTCACGTTTACTTGCAGGTCAGCCACAAACCAGTTTCTGATGCACAAGACTTACACTTTCCTCGTCTTCATGGTGCTCATTCTGCCATCGCTGGGCCTGTCCAGGTACGCTCCTACAAATGGCTCATTGGCGGATGTTTCTGTATTCTTCAAAGGGAAGCGTCACTGAGTGTCAAGACTCTGGCAACAACTGAGACTGCATCCATTCTGTATATTCTCATATAAATTATAAGGAATATTTGTCTCAAAATATTTTCCTTCAAGATTAATGTTAAACGTGATAATTTATTCAAAGATACCCTCTTACAGTATTACTCGTAATCCTGCACAGCAGTGCTGAAAGAGCTCCATGCAACATTTATCTTTTTGCTGACAGGGAGTGCTCTTACCAGCAACATCAGCCAAACCCGTGGTTATTTGTTTATAAACCCTAATGCTGCTGATGAAACCCAGAAGGTCAAAACCTCTGCAAAGTCTCCTTGCTTAAAGCGATGCTATTTGGTTAACATCAGTATAGAAGGACACGAGGCCGACAATTTAAAATATGAACAGTTTATGTAGATTTTGATCTAAAGCTTTTGTGACTGCAGGCATCCATATTCTTGGTTCTTTCGGTAAAGTCACGTGACTTTACAGAATAGAACCAAGGATATGAATAGTTTCTGTAGAGATACAGAACAGAGATTGAGTCATTTATCTGCGCAGCACATATGTAGTGTAATAGCGCCGGCTGGTGACCAGCAGCGGCAACAGTGGTGTACAAACAGTACACACGCCGGTGAGCATATGCACGGCTGTGTGTCGGCGGGGCGGAGAAACTGGGGCAAGGGTCACGGAAGACCTCATCTGGAAGCCCCTGGAACCTGCTAGTGGGTTCGAGAAGGGAGGCGCGGTCAGGGCGGAGCCAGGCCGCGCCGGTAGGATTTGGGATTGGATCGTCTCGTCGTCGCTGTTGTCTCGCCACCATCGTCGCTGCAGTCTTCTCTCGACATTGCGCTGCTAGACAGCCTGTTAGCTGTCTCAGTCGGCGCCACCAATGCTAGACGGCTCGTGTTGTGTCATAGGCTAGCGAATACAAATATCTTCTCCTAAGTCGTGCACTACACATACTTGCTGCCCTGCTTCCTATTGGCACAACCTTACTGCCCTGGGCGAATCCTCGCCGTACCCGTGTCACAAACATTGACACTCTTTCACTCATGCGGCATTGTTTTAGTTTGCATCGCCCTCTCCAGCCGTGTGCTTTGTGCGTACGCTACACGTGCATGTTGTGCTGTATGCGTCCTCTACACATGTATGTTGTGGTTTTATGTCACAGTTTTGACGTGTTCTTCCGCTGGCTGTTTGACAAGGACCTGCTCAAGTCTGGCACCATCCGCTTCGAGTGAGTGCTGTCTCAGAACTAAAACGACGATGTATTTTTATCTTGCCAGGTAAGGTCCACTGAGCTATATAGTTCTCTTTCAGAAGTCACCTGGCCACAAATGATAACTCAACGAAGTGGCTTATCATGTGGAAATGTATATCAGCCAAACACATATTTCTAAATGTGGAGGGAAAAACCGGAGGACCCGGAGAAGAATCCACACGACCACGGGCAGAGAGACACGCACACTCCAAATATATAGGCGTCAGGGTCAGGATCGAACTTACGACCTCCTGCGTACCAGGTGAGGGAGTTCACATCTCGCCATCACGGTGCCCATAAACAAAAGTGTCCCCCCGTGCAGCCTGTATAGACGGTTGAGTTAAGAGCTCTTCGCGAGTAGCACCTATGAGGGTTGGCACGGCACACTAGGGGGTGGGTGGCCAGGACCACGCCCGGCCGCCTTTGTCTCCATAGTTTACACACCGCACCAGCTACTCACTTGGGGCTGAGTCCACCTAGGAGAGTGAATGCTATACGGGGATCTTTGTCTCTCTACCACTGTGCTAATACCTCCAATTAGCACGGTTGACTATGTACGGTGCAAAAGAAGTTCAACATACATACAATCCAGGCGTGCGTGTGTATATGATTTTACCACTATACTCATACAGGTGTGTGTGTGTGATTGTACCTCTGTACTCACACAGATGTGTGTGTGTGTGATTGTACCACTGTGTTCATACAGGTGTGTGTGTGATGGTACCACTGTGTTCACACAGGTGTGTGTGTGTGTGTGATTGTACCACTGTGTTCACACAGATGTGTGTGTGATTGTACCTCTGTACTCACACAGATGTGTGTGTGTGTGATTGTACCACTGTGTTCATACAGGTGTGTGTGTGTGTGTGATGGTACCACTGTGTTCACACAGGTGTGTGTGTGTGTGATTGTACCACTGTGTTCACACAGATGTGTGTGTGTGTGATTGTACCTCTGTACTCACACAGATGTGTGTGTGTGATTGTACCACTGTGTTCATACAGGTGTGTGTGTGTGTGTGATGGTACTACTGTGTTCACACAGGTGTGTGTGTGTGTGATTGTACCACTGTGTTCACACAGATGTGTGTATGTGTGATTGTACCACTGTGTTCACACAGATGTGTGTGTGTGTGATTGTACCACTGTGTTCACACAGGTGTGTGTGTGTGTGATTGTACCACTGTGTTCATACAGGTGTGTGTGTGTGATTGTACCACTGTGTTCATACAGGTGTGTGTGTGATTGTACCACTGTGTTCATACAGGTGTGTGTGTGATTGTACCACTGTGTTCATACAGGTGTGTGTGTGTGTGTGTGATTGTACCGCTGTGTTCATACAGGTAGGTGTGTGTGTGATTGTACCACTGTGTTCATACAGGTGTGTGTGTGATTGTACCACTGTGTTCATACAGGTGTGTGTGTGTGATTGACCCACTGTGTTCATACAGGTGTGTGTGTGATTGTACCACTGTGTTCATACAGGTGTGTGTGATTGTACCGCTGTGTTCATACAGGTAGGTGTGTGTGTGATTGTACCACTGTGTTCATACAGGTGTGTGTGTGTGATTGTACCACTGTGTTCATACAGGTGTGTGTGTGTGTGTGATTGTACCACTGTGTTCATACAGGTGTGTGTGTGATTGTACTGCTGTGTTTATACAGGTGTGTGTGTGTGTGATTGTACTGCTGTGTTCATACAGGTGTGTGTGTGATTGTACCACTGTGTTCATACAGGTGTGTATGTGTGTGATTGTAACACTGTGTTCATACAGGTGTGTGTGTGATTGTACCGCTGTGTTCATACAGGTGTGTGTGTGTGATTGTACCACTGTGTTCATACAGGTGTGTGTGTGATTGTACCACTGTGTTCATACAGGTGTGTGTGTGATTGTACCACTGTGTTCATACAGGTGTGTGTGTGTGTGATTGTACCGCTGTGTTCATACAGGTGTGTGTGTGTGTGTGATTGTACCACTGTGTTCATACAGGTATGTGTGTGTGATTGTACCACTGTGTTCATACAGGTGTGTGTGTGTGATTGTACCACTGTGTTCATACAGGTGTGTGTGTGATTGTACCACTGTGTTAATACAGGTGTGTGTGTGTGTGATTGTACCACTGTGTTCATACAGGTGTGTGTGTAATTGTACCGCTGTGTTCATACATGTGTGTGTGTGTGTGATTGTACCACTGTGTTCATACAGGTGTGTGTGTGTGATTGTACCACTGTGTTCACACAGGTGTGTGTGTGTGTGTGATTGTACCACTGTGTTCACACAGATGTGTGTGTGATTGTACCTCTGTACTCACACAGATGTGTGTGTGTGTGATTGTACCACTGTGTTCATACAGGTGTGTGTGTGTGTGTGATGGTACCACTGTGTTCACACAGGTGTGTGTGTGTGTGATTGTACCACTGTGTTCACACAGATGTGTGTGTGTGTGATTGTACCTCTGTACTCACACAGATGTGTGTGTGTGATTGTACCACTGTGTTCATACAGGTGTGTGTGTGTGTGTGATGGTACTACTGTGTTCACACAGGTGTGTGTGTGTGTGATTGTACCACTGTGTTCACACAGATGTGTGTATGTGTGATTGTACCACTGTGTTCACACAGATGTGTGTGTGTGTGATTGTACCACTGTGTTCACACAGGTGTGTGTGTGTGTGATTGTACCACTGTGTTCATACAGGTGTGTGTGTGTGATTGTACCACTGTGTTCATACAGGTGTGTGTGTGATTGTACCACTGTGTTCATACAGGTGTGTGTGTGATTGTACCACTGTGTTCATACAGGTGTGTGTGTGTGTGTGTGATTGTACCGCTGTGTTCATACAGGTAGGTGTGTGTGTGATTGTACCACTGTGTTCATACAGGTGTGTGTGTGATTGTACCACTGTGTTCATACAGGTGTGTGTGTGTGATTGACCCACTGTGTTCATACAGGTGTGTGTGTGATTGTACCACTGTGTTCATACAGGTGTGTGTGATTGTACCGCTGTGTTCATACAGGTAGGTGTGTGTGTGATTGTACCACTGTGTTCATACAGGTGTGTGTGTGTGATTGTACCACTGTGTTCATACAGGTGTGTGTGTGTGTGTGATTGTACCACTGTGTTCATACAGGTGTGTGTGTGATTGTACTGCTGTGTTTATACAGGTGTGTGTGTGTGTGATTGTACTGCTGTGTTCATACAGGTGTGTGTGTGATTGTACCACTGTGTTCATACAGGTGTGTATGTGTGTGATTGTAACACTGTGTTCATACAGGTGTGTGTGTGATTGTACCGCTGTGTTCATACAGGTGTGTGTGTGTGATTGTACCACTGTGTTCATACAGGTGTGTGTGTGATTGTACCACTGTGTTCATACAGGTGTGTGTGTGATTGTACCACTGTGTTCATACAGGTGTGTGTGTGTGTGATTGTACCGCTGTGTTCATACAGGTGTGTGTGTGTGTGTGATTGTACCACTGTGTTCATACAGGTATGTGTGTGTGATTGTACCACTGTGTTCATACAGGTGTGTGTGTGTGATTGTACCACTGTGTTCATACAGGTGTGTGTGTGATTGTACCACTGTGTTAATACAGGTGTGTGTGTGTGTGATTGTACCACTGTGTTCATACAGGTGTGTGTGTGTGTAATTGTACCGCTGTGTTCATACATGTGTGTGTGTGTGTGATTGTACCACTGTGTTCATACAGGTGTGTGTGTGTGATTGTACCACTGTTCATACAGGTAGGTGTGTGTGTGATTGTACCACTGTTCATACAGGTAGGTGTGTGTGTGTGATTGTACCACTGTGTTCATACAGGTGTGTGTGTGATTGTACCGCTGTGTTCATACAGGTAGGTGTGTGTCATTGTACCACTGTGTTCATACAGGTGTGTGTGTGATTGTACCGCTGTACTCACACAGGTGTGTGTGTGATTGTACCGCTGTACTCACACAGGTGTGTGTGTGTGCGCGTGTATGATTGCCCCGCCGTGCCGGCGCAGGTGCGTATTTCTGCCAGACAACGGCGCGTTCTTCGTGAACTACGTGGTGACGGCGGCGCTGCTGGGCTCGGCGGCACGGCTGCTGCGCCTGCCGGAGCTGGCGCTGTACGGTCTGCGCCTGTGCCTGGCTCGCTCGGACGCACACCGGCATCACGTGCGCAAGGTGATGTCCACACGGGCCTCGAGCCCCCAACAAGCCCCCACGTCCGCTTACGCACACTCTTGCCTTGAGGGCCGTTGTTGATAATATAAAAAAAAGAGATAATTTTCCCCTGCTCTTTTCCCGGCTATCCTCTCGGCGGCGTGTCACGAGCCGAAGCATCCGTTTGGATCTCTCGCACAGCAGCGCAACCCTCCGTGTTGGAGAACCGTCGGCTCGCTACACTTGAGCGGCCGCTTTAACGTTGACATGTGGCTCCCTGCGTTCTGTCCAGCAACTCAGTAGTTGCTCTGTACACAATTGACGAGCCACCCGGCCGCCTCAGGTGAAGCACTTATTTAGGCCGACATGGCACACCCGAAGGGTGGTGTGGCCAGATCCACGTCGGCCGCTTTTGTCTGCCCAGCGCTAATGCTCTACTTGCCGCAGTAGCTACAACAGATGAGTTGAGCTCGTGGAGGCCCGAGATAGGTTTAGCTACAGCTTTACTCTGTTGTTACCCATGGCTGGAAGTCGAACCTATGTGGCTGTGTTCGTAGTGAAGAAAATTGCGATACAAATGCTTCCCAAAATGTATGTACATACATACACGCGCACGAACGCAGTGGCGCTGTTACATGCATGTGTGCCACACGGGCCTTCGTAAGTGTTCGCGAACAACACTCGCCCCTACAGTCTATTAAAGGCTATTTGGGGGATCTTTGTCTGTGATCGTGTTTCGGCCCTGTTCACAGCGCTGCTGCTACGAGTTCCCGTACGGACTCGAGTACGCGTGGACGATGTGCATCATAACCGTCACCATGTCCTACAGCGTCACCTGCCCCATCATCACGCCCTTCGGTAGTGTTTTGCACTCCCACCACCGCTCACCAAACATTTTGGTTTACTGCTGCTTTCTTTCATTTTGCCTTCCCAGGACCTCCGTGTAGTATTTACCCACAGAACTGCAAGTAATTGGTCTTGTAGCCCAAATCAAAAACATTACAGCTGTCTGCAACTACTTTTATTTTGTTGAAAGAAAAATGAGAGTGGAGTGATGCTCATCTCTCGTTTACAACCCTAAGCCAGTGATCAAAATTCCACATTCCTGTGGCAGGGGCCAGTCGTGCTTTAAGACGACCACCTTGTTGAGTTCCCCCGAAGCGGTGTGAAAGGCTGAATCGGCCTCTCACCAGACACTGAACTTGCAACCTTCCGATTGTGAGCTACGTTCTCACCAACGTGGCACGCAGCACAAACAAAAAGCACGTTCGAGTCTCCATTCCTGCGTAACGCCACACTCCCATTGTTCCTGTTAAAGGGAAAATAAATATGCAGGATGTGCCTTGCGAAAGCAACACCAAGCTGCCAGTGGGGTTCTCACCCGGTGTGATAAAGATGGCTCATGCACAAGTGGTTTTGATCATGATCCCTGGGGCCCGGCCACCTTCATCTCCCCCATCCGCAGGCCTCCTGTACATGGTGCTGAAGCATTACGTGGACCGCTACAACCTCTTCTTCACGTACCTGCCCGCCAAGATGGAGAAGAAGACCCACAAGGCAGCGGTGACCCAGCTCCTCATGGCCCCCCTGCTCTGCATCCTCTGGCTCCTCTTCTTCTCGATCCTGAGGCTCGGTGAGCTCCCACCCCTTCCCAGCTCCCACCCCATCCCAGCTCCCACCCCTTCTCAGCTCCCACCCCATCCCAGCTCCCACCCCTTCCCAGCTCCCACCCCTTCCCAGCTCCCACCCCTTCCCAGCTCCCACCCCTTCGCAGCTCCCACCCCTTCCCAGCTCCCACCCCTTGCCAGCTCCCACCCCTTCCCAGCTCCCACCCCTTCCCAGCTCCCACCCCTTCCCAGCTCCCACCCCTTCGCAGCTCCCACCCCTTCCCAGCTCCCACCCCTTCCCAGCTCCCACCCCTTCCCAGCTCCCGTTCGCTCTCTCTCTTCCCGGCTCCTGCGTCTTTCGGTCGATGTTTAAGCCTAAGCGACAAATGAGCTGGGGAATCGTGTGTGGGGTTAGGTGTGTGGAGTTAGGTGTGTGGGGTTAGGTGTGTGGGGTTAGGTGTGTGGGGTTAGGTGTGTGGGGTTAGGTGTGTGGGGTTAGGTGTGTGGGGTTAGGTGTGTGGGGTTAGGTGTGTGGGGTTAGGTGTGTGGGGTTAGGTGTGTGGGGTTAGGTGTGTGGGGTTAGGTGTGTGGGGTTAGGTGTGTGGGGTTAGGTGTGTGGGGTTAGGTGTGTGGGGTTAGGTGTGTGGGGTTAGGTGTGTGGGGTTAAGTGTGTGGGGTTAGGTGTGTGGGGTTAGGTGTGTGGGGTTAGGGGTGTGGACGGTTCATCCCCCTCTCAGAGATTTTATGAATTGTCACCATTTGATTTGGGGTGGCAGATCGATCGAGAGTTTTCTTCGTCCTTTTTCTGACCTTGTCCTGCGCCCGGTTCTCACTGCCCGATGTGTACGTTCGCTGTGTTAGCCGAAGTGTTGCATTCACACGCAATTTTCATATCGGTTGCATAAATAATCTATTTTCACATGTAAGGTTTCAAAGCATATATCTTGAGCCATAAAATCAATGTTGATTACTTAATCCGATGCATATTTATTTGCGCAGGATCTTAGTTAGTCCAGCATTTAGACAAGTCACGTTGTGAAGTGGCTGGATGGTTCAGGATTTCAGCAGTATTGAGCTGGCGCTGCTCATTGAAGTATGTCTGATACCTCTAGTCATGATTCACTGCTTACTACCACCCGAGCATTATCAGTTATCATCATGATACTTCCACTGTCGGATTATATGAGTGCCTTCTGATGAGGATCAACTGCTTGCTGTAGGAATTGCGGCAGTGATTGTTGTGTTTGTGCGATATTGCTCGCAGCAACATGTCACAGCAATAGGCTGGCACTGCCAAGGTCCTATGCTCACATCTGGGTATCAGCCATCCTGGATTAAACTGGGTTCTCAAAGTGTTGTTGGTTTCTGGTTTTTGCCCAGCCACCAATGTCCACTCAAAAAGACTCCTGTTATATTCAAATAATAAAAAAACAGACCAGTCTGTTTCAGCACATGCAAGTAAATAACCTTATAGTCTTGTCAGCCCATGAGCTCTCTGGATCAATACTTTTTTTCAGGCAGGATGTCAGGGCTGCCGCTACTTTTATTAATATGTTTTTTAAGAAATATAATTAAATGACACATATTAGTAATCGTATCGATTTGATATACGTATGAAAACAATGATCTTGTTCGCCTGTGCAGAATTAACCCTCTCTGCACGTCGTACCCTCTGTGTGCTGCCACTGCCGCCAGGCCTCCGCAGGCCCATCACCATGTTCCTGACCGAGGTGCTCGGCTTCGCCGGTGCCACCGTGCTCCTCTGGCTGCTGTACAAGGCACTGAAGCGCTTACTGCGATCGCGCCAGGTGACGCACGTACGCGCACGCCCTTTCCCGCACCTCAGATGAGCACGGTTGGCTGCGTACGGTGCGAAAGAAGTTCTACAGACATGTATTCACTCCCCTCTCGTCCGGTGACCCAGCCTCTCCTGGCCCCGTGGATCACCGCTGATGACCGACCGATGGATTGTCGATTCTGTCAGACGCGCGCACGCCCGTGCGTTTGCGCGTGCGTGCAGCTGACGGTGGTTAGTGCGCTGCGCTAAGAACCAAGTTCGATTCCCACTCAACGGCCAACACCAGTGACGATTGTCTGAACCGGCCCTGGGCTTCTCCAAGGTTGACTCAGCCGCAAATGACTACCTGCTGTGATATTTAAATGTTGCCATTAAGGAGTTAAATGCAACCGGGCGTGGTGCTGACCACCCACCCCCTCATAGGTGCTCGCAAACAGCATTTTCCCAAAAAGGTCTGTTAAAGGCATTACGGTGGATCTTTGTCTTTTTAGCCGACGGTGGTGGAGCCGCCCGTGGGAGTGGAGGACGACGCGGAGGACGGCAGCTCGCGGTCGTCCGCAGCCGTGCCGGTCGGTTCCCGGCGCTGGCGACGTGACCAGCACGAGCACCGCCACCGCCAGCCGGCACCAGCAACACGAATCACAACACCAGCGGCACCGGCATGAGCATCAACACCACCTTTAGCAGCAGCAGCAGCAGCATGAGGAGCAACACCCGTGCCAGGAGTAGCACTAACAACAGCATGCATATCAACACCAGTGTCAGTAGCAGCAGCAGCAACAGCCACACGACCCACTCACGTGATATTGCAGCCTTAAAATGGGTTCACAAACAGCACGTTCTCCCATGGCCTTGCAGGGATAAATGGGAGATGTTATTCATCGTGTTTTAGCGTAACACTGCGATGCAGGAAGTGGATGATACGGATCATAAAATGCAATTTAAAGACATCACCCCAAACATTAGGAAACTGGTGGGCACTTTGCTAGAGAGGACAACGATTGGTGGTGGTGGAGAATGACGATGGAGTGGCAGCCAAGGGAGGGGAACTCAGCCGAGAGGACGTCCACCCAGGAGACGGATACATAAAATCTACCTGTGGTGTATTTCCTTGGTGGACTATTACACCGCAGGATAGTTCGGAGATAGCGGCAGCTTGGGGAGGTCTTTATCAAGCAGTGGATACAGTCAACACATCACCCTCTAGCCATCACCAGCATCTCCTCCTGATCCTCCTCCTACCATCCATCAGTGTTTAGTTTGTTATCCTTCCAACGCACCTCTGATCGCTTAAATATATAAATGTGTCGTTAAACCCGCTACCGTCCGGTGCGTGCGTGCGAGCGAGCAGCTGTTTGTGGCCGAGGTGCTGCGGGAGCCGACGCTGGACCTCTCGCTGGCCGACTCGCCGAGCCGCCACTCGTACGGATCGCTGGCGCCCAACTCCCCCTCCGAGGCGCAGCCCAGCCCCGAGGGAGCGCCGACGACGCCGTCGCCGGCCTCGACTCCGGCCTCGACCCCGAGGCCCGCGGACCCCCACCCGGACCCCCACGACGCGCCCCACCACGTGCAGCCCCCCAAAGAGCTGCGCGACTTCTGCGCCCGCGGCGACGCCGGCGACGGTTACGACGGAGACTGATTGCCGGCACCGCCGGGACGTTGTTCGACGGTGGCGTTTCATTGGACGCGGGGCTCCGGTGCTCGCACTGGGCCCGGTTTTACGGGCGACCACCGACGCGCTACGACGCTTGCCACGGCAGAACTCCCATCGTGTGCAGCGCTCCTCCCAGGAGATGTAACGATAAGTTAATTTATATTGTTTGGTGCCGGGTGGGGTCACACCCCTCCTCCCCTAGCGGAGAGGGACGAGCCTCCGCCCACACCACGTGACCCCTCTGCCACCATTTATGTTAGGGACGTTTGCTATCCGAGCTAACGTTTAGGGTCTTATCTCCTGCATCTTTAGGCATACAACTGGTCCAATACGACGATGAGCTCTGTAGTTAAAGGTGTAACGCTACAAAGGTAGCCATTGCCCCCGTGTCGGTGGCAAAGGCCATGACGAGCGTCACGTTCGCTTGACTCTTCCAAGGCGGTAGTCTCAGCCCCTGCCTTGAGCTTTAGCATTGCCTTCTGAGCTATCCGAGTATGCAACATACAACCCTGCCCTGGGGGGCAGGGAGACTTGCTAGCTTCCCTGTCCGTGTACCTGTCTACCAAGTCTGGAAGGGACAGTGATGGATCATCTGATACTTCATGTTGGCTTGTGTGGCAGAAATATTCTTGCCACTGCTACAACTACCAATGGCAACACCATCAATCCTCTCTTTGGCCTCTGGTAGAGTGTTTCTGCGATCCACAGACCTGGGATATTTCCACATTTTAGCGACATGCTCGGGTCAATGTTAGCACCCTGCTAGCGTGAGTGCTTCTGAAACACTCTTAAAGAGTTTCTAAAGGCTACGCCTGTGCTGGTTTCTCCTAGCTCTTAGATTTACTACCGTGCTAGGGATGATGTTTGCATCCCGGCTAATAAAAAGCGGCGTCGTTAAGTACATAACGAGTAAGTACTTAACGTTTCTGAACGACTATCCCAGAAAACCTAAAAACTCGAGGAAATGGCGGCGGTAAGAGTCACGTGGTGCTGGCAGAGGCTGGCCCCCCACCTTGCACTGCAAATAATGAATATTTATTTATGTTTTGTGGGTGCCCGGCATCAGATGGAGTTCTATAGTGATGAGTCGGAGCGTGCCAGTGGCCGCCTTACGAAGAAGCTGTGTGGGTTGGCGCTTTTGTTTTACTTCATGACTGCAGATCGCATACAGGAATAACGGCACATACATCGGTGCCATATTCATAACATTTTAGCCACAAATTGCATTCTTGTTTCTATTGTTTGTATCCTCTTTTCATGAGCGAAACCCTGTTCTATCTCCACGTATGGTAATTCCTCATTTAACGCCGTGGATGCGTTCCTGAAAAATGCGTTCATCGAAAACTATTTCCCCATAAAAAAAATTACTTAATGGTGAAGTTTGGCAGGTTTTACAAGATACGATATAAGCACACTCCGTGATTTGCCAGGACAAAGATCTGAGATGAGGGTACGCTACGTACCGTATCACTCCGCGCGTTTGTCCAGAATTCCCAAACTGCTCAGCCGCGTAGTTTAAGAAAGTAGTTCGTCGTCCACCGCTCAGAAACGCTTCACAACGGGGCGCGTTGCGCATTGTGCGAAAAGTGTACCCTAAAAGAAGTACCGTGTTATAGAAAAAACACATTGTGTGAAAACGAGTTATTACCGTGTATGTTTTAGTCCATTGGCCTATTAGCTCACCAGACCAATATAATCCAGCAGATTTTTCTTAAGCCAGCAAACTGTGGATCGGTGTTGACCATCTGGGTCTCATCAGCAGTCAGGCTTGTTAAACAAAGGCTGCTAACTTGCTCGACGTTATTGGCAGGAGCACGGCCTCTAAACAATGAGGCCCAGGTTTTACGCAACAATATTGGTCTGGAAAGTCTGATGGACTAACAAATAAAATCTATATTTAGAAACCGAATACAGTTATGCTTTTACCCATAATGCTCTGCAAAAAATGCTCCATGAGTTTAAAGGTAATGGGTTGGAATGGTTTTTTTTACGATACAAAAAGTATTTTTAGGGTGGGCAGCTCAGTGAACTAAGGCATGCCAGTGAGACATTTTACAGGTGTGGTGGTGGTGCACACCTGCAATTCAGCACCTAGAGGCAGGGTTGGTGGACCACGCTGGGATAACGATGTGCACGGGCAGTGAGGTGCCCTAGGAAGCAGTACAACATCAAGGTTTTGATCATACAGCACCTGTGTGTGGCGTGTGGGTGTTCTCTTCGAGTATCCGTGCGATTTCTCCAGGCACTGATTTCTCACTGCATAAAATGCTCAAAAAATGAAATGGCCACACATCGAAACTCGTATAGTCTTGGTAGACTCAGCAATGTTTCACTTGGAAAAGATTTCAGATGAATTTACTGTTTGGTCTATATACTATACAGAGGTCACAATTCACCTACGATGGTGTTAAGAGTGCCCATTAAAGGAAACCCGAACAAACAAGACAATTGTATAGTTGGAGGTATAGATAAAAGTTGTTTTTCGATTTAGGTTAAACTTTTGAAAAACGCAGTGGACACGGGATACATTGTAATCTCCAACCATTTGGTACTGAAGACGAGTGGGTGTGCTTTGCTGTGCGTTAACTCCACGTGTGAATATGAAACTTGTGCCAGCCTACACCTCTGTACTTGTGCCGCCGATTAGGGATAACCTGTTTATTCCACAACCGTAAACAGGTCTCGGCCCTGTGTTGTTGTGGCAGTCATGTTTTGGTCTCTGCGGATACTTGGTGCTGTGGGCAAAGCAGACTTTATTGAGTTTATTTTTTTCTTAAATGCCATTTGAGAATAGGTGGAAATGAAAGACGAATCTCCATGGAATGATAAGCAGACTTGTACGAAAACAATATTTACATTTTGGTCTAGAACTGTCAAGCCATATTGTGCACTGCAGCTAAGTCTAGCGTCCCTGTACCCATGCCTCGTTGATGCTTTCCACCTTCAACAGTGGAAATTGAACGGTGACCTTTGTGTGTGAGATGGCTGGGTGGCGCTAAGGTCGGTCACTTCACGTTGAGGCGCTGAGCCTGCACGACTCATTACTGAGCTCGAGTCCGGGTTTGCAGCCGCCCACGCTTGAACCAACTTCTCAAGCTGGAGCGAGTTGTGGAGCATCGGTGACCGGTCTCAGCTCGGTCGGCAATCGCCAATAATTATAACTGCCTTGGTACTTGCATAACGTGTTACAGCTTTGTGGCTAACAAAATGTAACTTTGATTGTCATGCCGTGGACGCTCTTTACCGGTAAAAGTGTGCAGAGTTGAAGTACGCCAGAGCCATGCTCTCAAGACGAGATGACGATTATGCTACAAACTGTGAGAGTTGCAAATGGGATTGTCTTCATTTCCTGACGTGATGCCAGATATTGCGGTTGTAATGTAATTGGGGAAATACAACTAAAACAGTCGCTGCTGTGTCAACTGGCAGCGTGGTTCCAATCATAGTCAAGTAGAACTTCCACGTTGGGTTCAGGGCCACAAACAGGTGAGTGCTCCCCAATGCGTATTAATACGCTGTGGACACACTTTGACTTTTGTAAACAAGTTTAAGTGTAGGGGCAATGAAATATTGTGCCGACAAAGAAGGTGAAAGTCAAAAGCATAAGAGAAAGGCTGTACTCTTAGTGCATAATGAAGAGTACATGATGTGGATAGCCCAGCAGAGTAGAGGGCACGTGAGTGCCAGTGAGACGCCCTATCGTGCTCCGTGCCCAATGCAAACTGCCACGTGGCGATCACTGCCACACGAAGCTGGCGTGGGTGGCAAGTGTTCGTGTCGAAGGCACTTGCATAGGGATCTACTAAAATTGCATCATTTCAATTGGTGTAGAGCGTTTAAAACAACGCCCATGGAACGCGCGTGATTCATTTAATACCCACGAATGGTCACTTCACTGCAGTAGAATTGGCAGTAAGGTCGCTTAAATAGATCTCACTGTGAATGGTGCTCATTTTGATAGATCCCTGCATCTTGAGATAGTCGTATTTAGAAGACACGTCGTAAAGTCACATGGTACCGTAAGTCCAAATGCGGTGTTGGTAAGTAAGCGTCAAAGGTGATTTACGCCTCACACGGCGCCTGCATCTGTGTGAGCAGCGTTGGCTACAGTGCCACTGTAAATAAATATACGTTCCTTTAAAGGGTTAACAAGCCATCTTTTGACTTTGCTCAAATGCTACTGGGCAGAGGGTTCATGGAGCCGGAGGTGGGCGCCATGCGCTTGTCGACGGTATTCAGAGAGGGGACACAGCGCGATTCACGGCGGTGATTGAGTGGCTCAAGGTGTAGGATCGAGTCTGGGCTCCAGATTCACGTTCGTGACTTAACTCAGTGTTGTGAGAGAGTCACAGCCCGGTTGCTCAACGACTGTCATTGCTCTGTAGCAACGGTGGGCAACCTGCGGCCCCTCGTCGTGGTGGCCTGGTCTCGGTGTGTCTGGGGTGATGCGTGATGTCCAGCGTGCGGACCGCTGAGGTGAAGGAGAGCTGCTTCACGTGGCCCACTGACTCGTCTAGGTTGCCCACCATTGCTCTGTACTCTGTAACTTTTTGTGTTTTACAATGTATTTGGCTTTAATTGTGATGGTAATTTGACAACAACAAAACAGCCAAACGTCCTCATGTAGGCCATCCTGAAAGAAGCGTGCCTGGATAAATTAGCAGTATTATTGAGCTGTTAACGACCTCATCAAGCTGGATGGAATTCATCTCTAGTGCGCCGAGATTACTCGCGAACACACTGGTGTGCTGAAGCAGTGATACAATTGGCCCATTTGATTCACGTGACAGTTTTATTAAATGGCTGTGTCGGGTGGAGGAGGGTTTACGACACACAATTTAACACCAAAGTAAACCTATTATAAATGGTATTATTGTCTGCTAACAGCATGCGCATAAGCACCATTTAGGTGTCTTTTGGAAAGCTCGATCTCTTGAAGGGGCACTTAAACATTATCTTAGAGTCCTCATAATCCTATTGGATTGTTCCTAAGTGAAGGCCTTCTGTCGCTATGAAGGTCCAGACTGAACTCGTGTTGCCATGCGACCCGACTGCATTTGAGCTGCAATGAGTCAGCTTGTAGCAGTCGATTCATAACGCTTGCAACACGTGCATCGACCGGTGCGTGCAATACTGTCGATGCAACCGGTTCACGTCAACTCCTCGGCCACTGGGGGAGCTACTCGCAATGCCACGGCTCAAAGGGATTGATTTGTTTAAAATCGCGACTCCAAGCCATAGCAGTCTTGTCGAATAAGCTGGCAGCGTGAATAATCGCATTTTAAATCATTACCGTAATGGAAATATACGGCAAAACTCCAAAAATCCGTGGTGATATACTGATGGGGTTTCACTCGTAATCCTGTAATCCCCGACACACTGCGGCTAAATATGCAAAAGTCCTGGGGAAAAGGAATACTGGCAGGTTTGAGGGTTTTTAGCACCGCGATTCAGCTGTCAAACAAATCCACGTGGCAAGCCTCAGGCCTGCCGCGTGAAGCAAAGTCCCCTTGACGGTGTCTGGCGAATTTCAGGAGGAATTATCCCCGCCACTAAAAATCACGGATTAGCATTGAGTCGCCCCCTCCAAAAAAAATTGGAGGGCGGATTATTAGAGTTCATCTGTGTCTATATATATACACAATGACAATTTTAAAAACGCACCACAACACAAGGATTCGTGCAATGCAGCCATAATCCAATGTACATTGATCACAGAACCGCATTGTTGTTTTTGTAGTAAACATTGAGTGGCTGTCACAACCGGCTGATTAAACCGACGCTCTCGCTTGTAAGAAACATTGAAAGTCTGGGGCTTTGGTATATTACGACAAATTGTGTTTTGGCGATATTTTTTTTTTAAGTTGTCAATTTACGACTGATGCTTTTAAAATGCCAAGTTACTTCGACTGCCATTTTAGGAGGAAGTGATAATAGTTTCTTTTGCTGATGTAAATTGTGACAGCATGGCCCCCCGTTGGTGAATGTAAAAGGTTGCTTTTATATGAATATGCTTGTTTAAATATGCCTCTATAGACACCGTACAAGTACGTTGCACAGCCCTTTTGTTAATCAACTGCTGGATGAAGGCCTCCCCAAACGCGTGCGGCTCGTGGGGGCTATTTGATCATACCTCACCACGCTGGTCATTGTAGCATTGGGAGCATAGAAGTGCGGTACACAAATGAATGTTGCTGCCCACCGCGTGGCAAAGTCCCGTAGTCACCTTGCGCTTCTGCGGCCGTCTGGAACGCTCTTCCTTCGGATATTAGGAGGCCACTGGAGCTATGCACTTTTAAATCATCCAGATTGAAAAGTTATTTTTGTAGAACTGCTTTTCGTATTTAGTTTGCTGTCCTTCCCCGCACCTTAAATGTTGGCTTGGCTGTGTGCATACATACGTGGCCACCCATCCGAACGCCATCTAGACTCTGCCCTGCCTAAGCTTCCGAGATCTGACATGCTCGGGCATATTCTGGGTGATACGGTCATTGACCTGTAAACATGATGCATTATTTATTCACAGCAACAACAACATTATCGTATAAAGTATTTGCGGTCAGCATTGAGATGAAGCCACACCAATTCTGCGAAACTAGTACACGGTGGGCTGTTTAAGTCAGCACAGAGTGTTAAATACCTGCTATGTTTGTTGTACTTGTTTTAGAGGCATATTACGGTATATTGTGACGTTTCAAGTTTTGTGTTTTTGGAAGTGGTAAAGCTTTTGCAAAATCTAATTTGGAGTTGCATTCAAAACTTTGTCAGAGCATTGATTGGTGTGTGTGATTACAGAGGGAGATGGAACTTGTCAGCACAAGTTGCTGTGTTCTCCATGCTCCAGTTTCTGGTTACTGATAACGAACCAAGTCCGGTGAAAGCAGTATCTCGAACTGGCCTGAGCTAACTGAAGCAACGCAGCTTTAAACAAGTGCCTAGTACTATAATAATTATGCATTTTATTTATAGGGCGCTTTTTCCACGCTCAAAGTACTAAACAGTAAAAAGTATTATATATTATACGTACAAAAAAACGTACATGAAGAAAACAATGCCATATGTATAAAACGTAAGAGCAGCATAGAGAACATTCAAGGGACGGAATATAACAAGGTGGGAGATTAGAGGAGGGAATTCAAGCCTGATTGTAAGACCTTTTGAACAGATGAGTTTTTTTAATTGAGATTTGAAGGTGGAGATTGACTCCGCGGATCTGATCTCAATGAACAGTGTGTTGCATAGCCCAGGGGCAACTGAGGAGAAGGCCTTATCACCCATGGAGCGACGGTTGGTTGGAGGTACAACGAGTGTATGGGTGTTGTCAGAGGATCATATGGGGGGGGGGGGGGGGGGCAATGATTTTAAAATGGAGGATAAGGACCCATGGGGGCCCATGTCGAGTATTCAGGGGCTTTGCCACAGGGGCTGGGAAGGGAAGGGAGCTGTAGATGAGAGACTTCAGCCCCCAATAAAACAATCCCTGTACTCAGGAAGGTAGACACCATGTGACTTAATTTTGGCACCAAAAAGATTGGAACCCAAAAGCCGTTGGAATGTTAAACCAAGGTGGCTACTTACATCACATCCCCTCGGCTACAGCTCCTCCACGCATAAGATGCCGCTGGTTCCTCCACAACACTTGTCGTGTCACCCTAAACCCACCCCAGCCGACACTGCCCAATCCACCTCATGCCCCTCTCAGCCCCATCACAATGACATTTAGACCCCCAATTGAAATGTGCCGGCACCGCCCATGGTGAAAGGAACCCATGGCTGTTGGTGTCGGATGTTGTTCGTGGGGAGCATGAAGACAATGGTAGTAATTGTGGTGGTGGTTGATGAGGTAATTGTGGTGGTTGATGAGGTAACTGTGGTGGTGGTTGATGAGGTAATTGTGGTGGTGGGTGATGAGGTAACGGTAGTGGTGGTTGATGAGGTAACGGTAGTGGTGGTTGATGAGGTAATTGTGGTGGTGGTGGTTGATGAGGTAATTGTGGTGGTGGTTGAGTAGGTAACGGTGGTGGTGGTTGATGAGGTAACGGTGGTGGTGGTTGATGAGGTAACGGTGGTGGTGGTTGATGAGGTAACGGTGGTGGTTGATGAGGTAATTGTGGTGGTGGGTGATGAGGTAATTGTGGTGGTGGTGGTGGTGGGTGATGAGGTAATTGTGGTGGTGGTTGATGAGGTAACGGTGGTGGTGGTTGATGAGGTAATTGTGGTGGTTGATGAGGTAACGGTGGTGGTGGGTGATGAGGTAATTGTGGTGGTGGTTGATGAGGTAATTGTGGTGGTGGTGGGTGATGAGGTAACGGTAGTGGTGGTTGATGAGGTAATTGTGGTGGTGGTGGTTGATGAGGTAATTGTGGTGGTGGTTGAGTAGGTAACGGTAGTGGTGGTTGATGAGGTAATTGTGGTGGTGGTGGTTGATGAGGTAATTGTGGTGGTGGTTGAGTAGGTAACGGTGGTGGTGGGTGATGAGGTAACGGTAGTGGTGGTTGATGAGGTAATTGTGGTGGTGGTGGTGGTTGATGAGGTAACGGTGGTGGTGGTTGATGAGGTATTTGTGGTGGTGGTGGTGGTTGATGAGGTAACGGTGGTGGTGGTTGATGAGGTAATTGTGGTGGTGGTGGTTGATGAGGTAATTGTGTTGGTGGTGGTGGTGGGTGATGAGGTAACGGTGGTGGTGGTGGGTGATGAGGTAATTGTGGTGGTGGTTGATGAGGTAATTGTGGTGGTGGTTGATGAGGTAATGGTGGTGGTGGTGGGTGATGAGGTAATTGTGGTGGTGGTGGTTGATGAGGTAACGGTGGTGGTGAATGCTGTGGAAGCACAAGAAGGATTTCGAAGTTGAGACAGAAAGCAACCACGATGGGGGAACCCTTGTTGGGTAGCCGAGGAGTCTCACAAACTAATATAACTATAAAACTAAACTATTTTTTTACCAGGTAAAGTCCACTGAGCAATATAGCGCATTGTCAGAAGCGACCTGGACCGAAATGATAGCTCAACGAAGTGGCTTATGTGGAAATTTACGGCAGCCAAATAATCTAAAGTCTAAGCGCATGTTTTCAAATGTAGAGGCAAAAACCGGTGGACCCGGTGAAAAATCCACGCGACCACGGGGAGAACATGCAAACTCTAAATATACAAGCGTCAGGGTCTGGATCGAACCCACGACACTACATACCAGGCAAGGGAGTTAACATCTCGCACTGCTATCAAGGGTTCCGAGGGACACAATATATCGCTCGCCCCACCTCCATCCAAAAGTTAGGGGGGGCATCTGCCCCCTCTGTTCATATGCACCCACCCCATATGGAAATTAGATCTGAGTCGTTTTATTGATTGGCTTTCAAAACATATTATTTTATTATCGCATCTAAAACTATCGAAGCTGAAAGTCAAGTCTCACTTATCTTCAATAACGAATGCACTCCTTCAATAGTGGAAATGCCACATTCTTATGGCAGGCACCATCTCAACCTCTGTTGACTTTCCCCAAGTGGTATTCATTGTATTTACCCCAAAATAATAATGGAGTGACTACAATACTATATTTGTGTTTTGTAAATGAAAAACACATGATTGAACATACGATATATAACATTTAACCTTGGAAAATTAGATCACCGAAGATTGTATTCCCATAATAAAAAACGCTGATTCCGTTTTATTTGCTACAAGTAATCTGTGTGGGAGTTGTCCGGCACCATGCGCAGAATTCTAAAAATAGGGGAATGGGAAAGCAGCTTAAGGGAGAGAGAGAGAGAGACTCCTCCCAGCCCAAGCCGCCAGCAGCGCCTTGGCCCAGAGAGGCCAACAACATTCGTCGTCCCAACAACGTTCGTCGTCCCAACAACATTCGTCGTCCCAACAACATTCGTCGTCCCAACAACGTTCGTCGTCCCAACAACTCCTGATCCACGGACGGTCTTTGCTTTACGACATTCACGGTGCAGAAGTGGAAGTTTGGTTCTGCTCTACCAGGTAATGCGATGTAAGACCCACTCACCTGTGCTTTCTAGTTGAGTATTGTGTGTGCTTATACCAATCCATGTGCGTATGCATGCAACGATGTGTGTATGAGGAGCGGTCGTGTAACAGCACTACACATCCAGTTGCCCGAGTTTCTATCCAACTCAGGGTCACCACCAACACCAGTGACGATTCTCTGAACCGGTCCTGGACCTCCCCTAGTTCGACTCACTCTCAAATGAGAACCTGGTGCGGTGTGTAATCATCGCCACTGAGGATTCAAAGGCGGTTGGGGGTTGGTGCTGGCCACCCACCCCCTCGTGTACCATGCCGGCCTCCATAGGTGCTACTCGCTAACGGCACTTGCCCCAACAGTTTGTTACCAAGCTAAAAGGGGGGATCTTGGTCTTGTGTGTCTGTGCGTATGTACCATGTCTCTTTGTCTTCTTTCAAAGGATTACTACAATGCGCAGCTGTCTTCTCTCCCATCGCATCTCGCCCTCTTCTCCTGCCCTCGTCTTCATTGTCCTGGTAAACAAACCACAGAAGAATGACGCGGACTCTGCTTCCTTCCCTTTATTTGCGTTCGTCCCGATATCTGCGCATAACTGGTAGCTTTTTTTTTCATATCAGCGCCGTCTTCACACTGTTTTGAAAAGCACCTGCGCAAACTGAGTTGTCAAAATTACCCTTCAAAAATAAATGTCAAACACGTTTGTCCTAACACTTTCAAGGATCCAGGCTAAAGTTTGAACTTTCTAGTCCTTCTAGGACAGTATTATAATTCACGCCAGTCACTCGTCTGTATTAAATGCCCGGTGATGATGTCGACAGTGGCATTGTCCAATTACGACATCGTTAATGATTGTGACGAAGGCAGTGGCGTTAATGATTACAATGACGATGGTAACGTGGGAAATGTGTTTTTGTAATGATCCTGCTGCCATTGTTCATGATTATAAAATGACATTAGTGGTGATGACAACACTGATGGACATGGCATGACCATGTTTAAAGGGGGGGCGGGAGGGGGGGCACGGCAGAGGCAATCTCAAACAACCTAGGGGCGCCGCGGTGGCTAGGAGATGTTAACTCCCTCGCCTGGTACACAGGAGGTCGTGGGTTCAAACCCGAGTCTGACGATGCCTGTCATATTGCTGGAGTCTGCGTGTGTCTCTCCTCGGTGAGATGTTAACTCCCTCGCTTGGTACACAGGATGTGGTCGTGTGTTCGATCCTGACCCTGACGCCCGCTGTATATTTGGAGTTTTCGTTTGTTTTTCCCCGTGGTCGCGTGGATTTTTCCAGAGATCCTCCGGTTTTCCCCTCCACATTTAGAATCAGCATCACGCGTTCAGAGTATTTGGTTGCTGTACATTTCCATATGATGATAAGCCACTTCGTTTAGCTATGAATTGTTGCCAGGACGCTTCTTAAAAAGAGCTATGTAGCTTAGTGGACCTTACCTGGTAAATAAAAATAGTTTAGTTGAGTACACACGACTGGAGGGGGTGAGCTTGCTACGGAGCAGGATCATGATGATGATGGTGGTGGTGGTAGTGATGATAATTGTTGTTGGTGACGATAGCCACACAAGAAGAAATTTACCTCCTGGACCTTGACCTGAAGATGCTTGGCACAGTTCCAAGCGACACGTAGCGTATCTAATTGATACATTTAGTTGCGATCTTTATTCTTCACTTAATGGTGAGCTGACTAGGTATCAATTGGCACATTAAACGCCTTTTCACCACGTGCCAACTTCA